GTCAGTGTTGTCGCGTGTGAGGAAAAGCGGTTGCAACAGGTACCTTTGTTTTATTGTCACACTTTCTAAGTGCAGCTCCTCTTTCCCTGCAGGATGCAGGTGAAGTCCCTGGAGCTGCAGAAGCACCTGGCAGCAGTATCCGAGCGGCAGCAGTCGGCTCTGCGGCGGAACCAGTCCTACCGCCGGGAATTCCGCCGGCTGCAGGAGCACATGGACACCACAGGTTTGGAGATGATCCGCAAGATGGAAGTAACTTTCTATAAGACCTGATGCATTCCTTGGTGTTTGCTGTTGTTGTACTAGCAAGGAGATGTCTGCACGTCCTGGTGCTCGGGGCGAGCTGGCTCAGGATCCCTGTCTCGGGTTATAGAACGGGCGGCATCTGAAGCACCTCAGGTTGAACAGACTGCTAAAAATAAAGTCAAGCCCTGAGGACTTTTTAAAAATTATTATTATGTTGTCTTGCTATTCCCCAGCAAACAATCTGGGATGTTGCAAAGTGGTATCGTATGGTGGTGACTTCAGATTTTTAAAAACCAAGCTGTGATTTGTGCTCTTGCCACTAATGTACAGAGCTGGGGTTTGGGGGGAGCACAGTCTGGGAGGGGAGTGAGCAGTGGCATCCTTCAGAAACATTTGGCTGTGTTTGCTCCTCACACAACTGTCACCCGGGTAGTGCCTGTTTGGATCCTTTCCTGGCTGCAGTGAACCCAGAGTTCAGACTGTCTGTGGAGAGGGTGTGGTTCCCCTCACTCTGATTTTTAGTTGTTGTTTGAAGCAGAGCAGGAGGAGGGGTGTGCTGTGGTCCCAGCTTTCCCCTGCTGTTTTCCAGGATTTGTTTTTTTTTTCTCAGCAGCCCCAGTGCACACCAGTTTGACCAGAGGCAGGTTGTGGTGGTTCTGACACCCTGGTGTGAGTCCCAGTCGTGCCAGGGGTCGATCTGCACGTGGGGTTTTTGTTCAGTCCTTCCATTTTGATGTTTCCGTGCCATCCATTTTATCTTTGCCAAGTTACAGTTATTTTTCTGAGCTGCTGAACAAATGACATCTCCTCCATGCTAGTTATGAAAAGCAGAAGAGTTATGGAGCATGTAATCATTTAATCTATCGTGGGAGTACACAGACAGAAATTATTACTGTTTTCTCTTCTTTTTTTTCCCATAGAGAACGCCCTTTAGGAGTGCTTTATCACAACTCTGGGCACATTTATTATGTGGCTGTAGCTCACAAAACTTCTTTTGTTTCTGAAAGATGCACTTTTGTTCCCCGTGTTTGTCTGCAGTTTGGTCAGTAATTTTTAGGAGTACAAATAAATTCACTTAAGCTTTCAGGAAAATTCAGGAGTTACATTTGAGCTTCTTCTGAGCATCCCTAATTGTCACGTGGTGAGGTTTTGTTTGTTAAAATTCCATGTTTACAGTTTCCTGAGCAGCCTCTTACCTGGGAGCTGAACGCACCACTGGAGCAAAGGGCAGAGCCGGGGAAGTTAATTGTGTTCAGGGTTTGTTTTCATGCCTGTCACCTGCTGCAGAATCGGTGCTGAAGTGCTTTCAAGGCCGCCCTGACACGTTTGTTGGGGTTTGCAATTAGGAACAGACAGGATTAATTGCGGGTGCTGCCCGTGCTGTGCCGAGCCCTGCTCCCAGCGCGTTACCGCTGCTCCATTAAACCCTGCAGTGGGCAGAGCCAGGCCTGGGGGAGCAAACACGAGGCCTGTCCTGCTGGGCTGCTCTCTGTGACACCTGCCCTGCATTCTCCCTCCAAGGGCTCAGCCACTTGTGGGATGGTGTGTGACAAACAAGTCCCAAAGCTGGTTTCACCCCACAGCAGCCGAGTCGCTGTCTGGGGACAGCAGCAGTAACTCAGTGTCACAGATGATGGCTGGGATGCCATAAATTTGAGTCAACAAGTTACTGCTGTTCCGTGGGATCCTAAATTGCAAATGAATAAATGTGTGTGAAAGCCCTGCAGCAGACTGTGCACAGGCCACGCTGCTTGGCCGGGTGAGCAGAGAAATGAGGAGAAAATGGGATCTCTGGCTTTTTAAATGTAGTCTGAGTGAAAAAGGCTGCTAGGGCTTTACATTTAAAGGTGCACAGGTTGCGAAGTAATATCAGTTGGTTTGTATGTGTGGGGGGGTGGATTTTGGCCTCCAGTTTTGTGTGACGGATTTGTTCCCATTTAGGCGTGGTATGGAAGGGAAATTAAAAGCCTGTTATCCCTTCAAGAGGGCAGCTTGTCAGCAGGAGGTGACAAGGAGGAAGGATCCAGCGAGCAGGTAATGGGGGGGAATGGGCTTTTTTCCAGGGCTGTGCAGCCTTTCCGTGGGGATTTCAGTCCTGGCGTGTGCAGTGTGAAATGGTGTTCAGTGCCTGAGTGAAGGGGAATCACCTGGGTAAAAAGTGCAATTATTTCAACCAAAGAGCTGGAATTAAAAAAAAAAAAAAACAACAACCCTGATTGTTTATGCACGTCTTGTTGGGTTTTCTAATTCCTGTGCTGGATAGTGTGAGAATGGTCGTGGCCAAGGGGGAGTGTTCCTAACGAGGGGTATTTGCGGAAATGCAGCGGCGGATCCGTGCGGTGTGCTTATAATTTTGTGTGTTTTGACCTTTCCTCAGAAGAAGCAGAAGGAGATTGCATATCTAAGGAACGGACAAAAAGACTGACAAGGAATACTTAAAATATCTGCTGCCATATATCTGCAGTAATGCAGGCTCCTAATCCCTCCTCCTATCTCCATATAAATGATACAGTTCAAGACCAGAGCCGCTTCCTCCACTGAAAGCGGCAAAGCCCTTTTAGATGAAATGTCTAAAAAACCATCTGGTAATAACTCGGAGCGTGCTGGCAAGAGTAGTCACTTGTGACTGTGTGTGGGAGCCCCTCAGCCAGGCGGCGCCGGCACGGGCAGGACGGGAGCGTCTCTCCATGTCTCTCCATCCTGCCGAGGAGCCGGCGGCGCCGCGTCCCTCAGGCTGCAGCATTCATTAAGGGGAGCTTACTGGGCTGAAAGCTGGGAACAGATGATAACGGGATATGATTTTCATATTTAATGCATTCCTTGGAAGAGTGTGTGTGTGCTGCAGATTGATAGAAGAATCAACTGCTACTTTGCTAAAAGACTTTCTAGTTTGCCCTATAGCTACCGATGGAATCATTCAGCCAAGAAATTAACTTTTTCCCCTTTTACCTGCTTTATGTATCTGCTAAGCAGGCTGCTGGCTGCCAGGGAATGTTATTATGCAGTTAAATGTTTGGTATTTAAGACTCTTATCAGAAAAGAAACAGAGGCCACACTATTTTGTTTTTATAGTAGGAGGAAGGTTTTTGCTTTGCTTTCTTCAGTGCATTAGCAGTCGTTAATCTGAGTTTATAGGAAGTTTTCCCCATAGATTAAAAAGTTAAAAACCTTGAATTTAGAGCATTCTTTAAACTGTAATATACAAAGCAATGAACCCGAGCAGCCTTGACCTATATAGGCCAGGCCTCCAGCAGGGTGGGAATCGCGGTTGGAATTGGGAGCTGTGGGGAAAGACGAGTTTATTTTGGAATGCTGGGTTGCTCAGTTAAAGCAGGTGGCGTGGGAGATGGGATTTCTAACCTATGGAAAAGTTGACATCGGTACTAGAACATCAAAGGCTCATGCTGTGACTTGGGATATCCAGGATATGGATCACGGAACTGGTTTCACTTACCAGCACTGGAATTCCTTCAGGCAGGTTGGGATCCAGGGACTGTGTGATGAGCCCATCAGTGGCACATCCTAGGGACTAAGGACAATCCTAGAAGCAGTCTTCCAGTGATGGTCAGTATCCCAATGGCCTGAATGCCCCCAGGAATACCTGGACATCTTTGAGATGGGGGATATGCACCCTTTTAGGGTCCCAGTTTTTGTGGGAGTCCTTAAGCTCAGAAGTCCCACACTGAGGAGGTCCATCCCGGCCGGCAGAGCTCCTGAAACCTTTGTGCTATGAAGTCTGGCTTCTTCAACTTGCAGGCACTTCCTTGAAGCCTCCTGAAGATGTTGGACTCCTGCAGGCTGGCACTGCTGTGTCTGTTGGCTGTGGGCACCTCCCAGGAAAACCTTGAGCCCCCTTTCCCTGGGAAAGGGGTGTTCCCAGGTGAAGGAGTGCCTGGCAGGGACAGGCCTCTCACTGGACCTGCCCTCCAGAGCTCTCACCTGGTTGTCTGCTGCCAGGGAACACTGGGCCCTTCTGTCAGCCCTAGTGGAATGGCTTTTCTTGTCTCTGTTCCCCTCAGAACACTCTAATGATAACCAGAGCGATGGGGTTTGTCCCTGGAGGATGGTGGGAGCCTGCCCTCCAAACCAGGCGAGGACTGAAGGTGTGTTTGTGCAGAGACTTTGTTCAGCTCCCAGCTGGGGTGACCTGAAGTTCAGCCATTTGGTGACTGTTCTGGGCAAGACACCTCCAGGTTTGCCCTGTTCTGGTGGTAAAAGCAGTGCCTGGACCAACATAATCTGTCACATTTCTGCTTTGAGAATGCAAAGGTGCCGAAGGGATGACTATTTCTCTGCAATCCAAGAGAAGCTCGTTAGGGATGTGTCTGCTGTGACTCTGCCAAGAGCTTGTGCCTGTTTGAATTCCATTTGTTTTGGAACACTGCATCCAGGAGCTGCCAAAGCCATGCAGGACTGGCAGGAGGCATTTGAAAGCACCAACTAATTAATTAGGAGAAACCTGAGAGCAGTGGTGATGGAATAAGCTGTGAACTTAATCTGAGTAGCAAACCTTTGCTTCTTCTTAAAATAACTTCATGGCTTTTTGTTCTGCTTCTTGTTATGTGGAATTTGAGCTTTTTTTAAGGAACCTTGGTCACAGACCAGACAAGATGCCTTTGTCTCCTTTCAGCTGGGCTCGGCAGCTGACTTTGTGTGGGAGGGAGAGGTCAGGCAGTGAAAGAGAGGGGAGAGGTGTGGAGGTGACTGTAAATTGTCCTGCTGGGATTTGGGGCTGGAAAGGAAGCCCTGCTCAGTGTGAACAATGGCATTACGATGGCTAATTTTGGCTTTGCATAAACTGGTGGTGACCCTGCAGTAGTGGTGGTGGCAGTAGCCACTCCTCCTGAATTGTCCTGATCGAGTAGGTTTGCAAAGGAAAAAAGGCAAGTACTAAAACACTGGGATTTAGCAGCAGAGTGGTTGTACTCCTGGACCTGTTTTTTTTGTGCAAGTTCAACAGTTCTTGGAGGAAAGTGCCATTGGAAATGTGTCTGGTCGGTGCCCCAGGAGGGAAAGGGAATGGTGTGAGCTGAGGAGCTGCCCTTCCTCTGTGCTGTGGTCTAGCAGCCAGGCAAGAGCAGAAGGCCCTCATTTTCACACTGGGATGCGTGGAATGCCTGCCAAGGGATTGTGTAATATTAATGCCGTGGCAAACACTTGAATGCTGTGGTAGTTCTCTCTCCAGAAAGCAGTATGCCATCCTCCAGAAGCTCCACTTGCAGCAGGCTCCCCGTGTGTGTCCTTCAGCCACGTCCCACTGTGTGTTTCAGGTGCCACAGGCTGGAGGACGGGCGGGAATTGGCACCGAGGCAGCTGTGCCAAGAGAACGGTTCCATCCAGCCACAGCCTTCCTGGGCTGCCCCACCCCAGCTGTCTCGGCCACGGGAGGTTTGGGAACGCAGCAGGAGCCCTCCCAGCCCCCATTCCCTGAGGGATGTGGTGCCCAGAGCCAGAGCAGCGCTGCTGGAGAGACCGAGGGGTCCCTGGAGGGAGCACACGGGGACCTGGCTGCCAGCGAGGAAGGCTCTGAGCAGCTCCCCTCCTCAGCTCCTGACCCCACACCAGCCACCCCCGAGGAGGGACAGCTGCAGGGAGGTGTTCCAGGTACGGCAGCAGGAGCAGGCAGTGAACTGCAGGGTGTGGCAGCCTCAGGGCGTGTGTTCTGCTGCAAGGTTTGAACACTGGGAACAGTCTTGGGGTGCACTCCTTTCCCCTGAGAAAAGCTTTTTCCAGCTTCTCTGTTTGATTGTTCCTCCAGAGCTGATTGGGTCTGGTAGCTGGTCTCTGTGCCAGGGTGGTTTTTGAGGAGTGCCACGTTTGTTCCCAAACCCCAAAGGCTGGAGCCTCCCCAGACTCCCCCTTGTGAGAGGAGTGTGGAAGGACACAGGGCTGTGGGCAGGGAAACCCACAGCCAAGGGAAGCAGAAGGATGGCTGGATGCTCACACACACGTGTGAAGGGACAGGGCTGAACAAAAAGTGTGGGTAACCTGGGTTTCATTTCCTATGCTAGGGTACAGTCCTTGGTCCTGCTGACGTTTTGGGAAGAATAATGAATTCCTCTTTTTTTTTTTTTTTTATTTATTATGACAGAATCAAAGTCTGTGCTGAGTAACTGGTGGGCTGGCCCAGAGGAGAGCAGTGCAGAGCTCCTGGTGTCCAGCAGTGCCGAGGAGGGGGTGACCCCCAGCACTGCCAGCGCGCAGCAGGAGCGGGACGGGGATACCCAGGCTGGGGAGGGCTCCCCACTGCCCCCACTGAGCCCTACCCTGGCACAGCAGGAGCCCTGGGGCAGCTCAGCACCACACAGGTATGGCCTTCCCTGTTTTCTCTCTGCTCACTCACTGTCCGTGCTCCGGAGGCTGCGGATCAGCCACGCTGCTCGGGGCACTACAGCCCAAAGCCCTCACCTGTCCTGTGGGACCTTGGACCTGTGCTGGGGGTTCAGTGGCTTCAGGTACCTCCCTCGGGTCCGAGCTGGCCGAGTGAAGGGTGTTTGTTGTTAAAATGCAATAGCTGTTCTTCAGATGTACACAAATCTTACCCCAGTGGCTCTGTATGGCAAGTACCTGTCACTCACTGAACAGCCTGTTTTGTGTGGACCAGAACTGCCAGTTGGTTTTGGCCATTTGTCTGGAAACAGAAAAGGAGGGAGAACAAGGACAGTGCAGTGCAGCCCCATGTCCTGTGGTGCTGTGTGACAGTGTGGGGTTGTGTGGCCAAGGACTGCAGTGCCACAGCAGCGCCTGTGACATCCAGCACAGCCGGATTGTTGGCCTTGCAACGCCCTCATGAGACAGGGAAGTGCATCCCCATCCCAGCAGGGCAGTGCCCACCCAGAGATGGTCCCTGGGGCTGGCCCAGGTCCCTCCTCGTGTCCTTTGCCAACCACTGGCACCCCTTCCCAGGTCCCCACTGGGGTTTCAGTGGGACATCAGGCAGCGACCACACACAGAGGAAACCAGCGCTTTTACCCCTGGAGAACAGGGGTAAAGTGCTCCTGGGGAACCAGTTCTCCTGTTCTGCCACTTGGCTGAGTTTTTCCATCCTGGTTGTTTGCAGCTTTTAAACCTGTTCAGTGCTTCTGTTCCCCCAGCATTCCTGGTCCGTGGTCTCGGTGCTGACGTCGGGATTAGTTGGAGCGTTAATAGGTGACAGCTGAGCAGAAACAGGCACTCCTGTAACTTTATCATCTCACATTTGCATCGGGCCGTTGCTCGCTATGGAAACATCGCCTAATTTACATGTAAATAGCTTTCCCCCAGTGTTTCCTTTGTATCACACCTGTTAATCACGGCAGGGCCGGGCACTGGGCAGGGGGAGCTGAGCACCGGCAGTTCAGCCTTGTGTTCTGTCCCTGGCCAGGCCTGGCTGTGCCGAGGCTGGGGAGACGTGCAGGGAAATCACACACGAGCTGAAAGCACGGCAGGGAGGGTCCCTCCCCGTGATGCCGAGCTGAAAGCTGCCCTTCCTCAAGGCCGGGGGAAGTGGGGTCACCACTGCTGGCTGTTTCTGCAGCAGAGATACGGGTTTTGATTTGTTTTACCTGAACATTTAAGGCACATAAGCTGGCAGGAGAGGAGGATCTTGTGGAGGGAGGAGCAGTAGTTCCCTTGTTGTCCTTCTGGCCGGGTGGGCTTTCCAAGGCACCCAAAATTCGGCGTGTACCCTCCAGCCTTGCAAAATAATCACTGAGCTAAAGAACTTGTGGAAAGGCTTCCAAGTGATCAGTGCATGAATGTCAGTCGTATAAGTTGCACAGACTATGAGAATGCAGCTTTCTTTGGTCAGAGTGTATCATGCCATGGACTCACAACAGCAATAATTCCAGCCCCTGTGGTTTTCTCTTGCCAAATTCCTACTCCGGCTGCAGAAATGTGCTGACATTATACCAAGCTCTGTGTATTTGCTGTCTGAAGTCAAAATCTCTGTAACCTGGGCTCTCCCACTGCAGCAGTGTTGTCTCTGTGGCATCCAGAGGAAGCACTGTTCCCTCTCCTGGGGCACTGGGGCTGTTTGTGCACTTCTGGGGAATTATCTGAAATGAGTGCAAGGGATGGCCTTGAAAGGAGCAGAGACCACGGCTGACTGCAGAGGCAAAACAAAATCCTTGTTGTGTGCCAGGAAGTCACAAGTTTTCGTCTTTGGAGCAAATGCCTCTCCTGTCTTACTGCAGAGATACCAGTCTCTGTTTTTCAAAGAGTTTTGGGGGTTTTTTTCCCCCCATGGTTAGGAGTTGGCAGGTCATGTGTTAGCTCTGGATGAGTTCAGCCTCATTTCCAGGTGCCTTCCCCAGCTAAAGGAGTGGTTACCCTGACATCTGGATGTTTTCACAAGCAGACCCACGTGAGCCTGGGCTTTGTTTTCTGGTGATCAGCCTCCACCATGTGGGGGCTCGTTGGGCTTGTGAAGGCACCAGGACTGCCCTCCCGACAGCCCCAGCCCTCGGTCGGAGCTGCTGATCCGAGGGGAAAGGCTCCATGTCCTCTTACCATTCCTTACAGCACCCAGCCCTTTCTTTGAGCCTTAAACCCGGCGGGGAGAGGGGCTGGGGGAGAGGGTCTCTGAGAATTAGTGCAGAGAAAGATGATGACTGTTTTAAGGCCTGTGCTGAGGGGGTGGAAAAAGGCAGAGCTTATGCCAGTGCTGCTTCAGCTGCATTGAGGGGGACTTAGCACAGATGGATTGTGCATTACAAAATGTAACACATAATTCAAGCTGTCAGCTTAATCAGACTGTTTCCAGGAAGCAACCTGTAAAAGAGAAGGACCTCTTGTTTGCTGACCTCTGATCCGTAGCCTGCTGCAGATTGTCATACATTTTGTTTTTCTTTATGTTGGTGTCCCTTCCTTCCCCTTCCCTTTTTATTATTGTATCCCTCTCGAGTGGCACCCTGGAAGGACCACCCAGCGGGAGGAAAACAATGGGAAACGAGCCTGCCGCTGGAATACAGGGTTTGTAAGGCTGGGGGAAAAGAGAAAGCACTGTTTAACTGCCTATGTGATCTCCCGGGTATTGTTTTGCTTATTAAATGTCTAGGAAACTCGACCAAAGGCACGGCAGCTCCCACTTAATTGTTCACTGTTGCCCAACACTGCGAGGGAAAGCACAGCTTTGGGTACAGCTCAGCCCGAGGGTGAAAACGCTGCAGGTTTTTTCGGAGCTGCTCAGCCGGGGCACTGCGAGCCGGGGTTAACTGTGGAAACGTGTCAGCTCCTGCACACGGAGCAGAGAAATTAAACTCCCTCCTGCCCCAGCTGGGGTGTTCATCGCTGGTGGAGACCTGGGCTGGGAGCCCCACAAAGCGGCAGCCGGGGCCCTGAATAGCCATTTACACCCCTGGTCCAGGATTAGCCGCCGCATTGTTTCAGTGGTTAAGTCCTCATTTGCATCATTATAGAGGTGCAGCCTCATCAAAACCCCTCTGAGGTCCCCGGGCTGTCCCCATACCTGTAGGTGGTCACCAGATTTGTTTCGATTGTGGAGGTGAAGGAATTAAACTGCTCGGCGCAGGGGTAATTTCCATGTGGCATCTCAGCCCAAGGGCTGATTTTTTGCTGGTTTGTTTGCTCGTGTGTTTGGTTTTTTTCCCCTTCCTACACAGCTCGGGCAGTGTGGTTTTGCTGTTTGCTTTGAAAAGCTCAGACGAGGGTGTTTTTTTTTTCCAAGGGCTGCAACGGGAATGTATTTACAATACCTGTGCGTTTCGGGTGGCTCCAAGCCCTGTTTGTCTATCCTGGGATGCTGGCAGGGCATCCCGGCCCTCCGGAGGCAGGGAAACACAGTAACTCCAGAGACTTCTCAGCCAGTCACTCCTGCGATCTGCAGCGCGAGTCTCTGGACAGGGAACATGATTTCGAGAAGCAATTCTATTTTTCTACGAGGCAGGAGATGCACGTGGCCTTTAAAACCAGCAAAAGTGCGTTTGGTTTGTTTGTTTTTCCCAGTGCATATGGCACAAGGACAAGCAAGAATTAGTTGGGTTTTTTTCAGTCTCTTTAACGCAGGAACGAAAACAATTTCCATTCTGTCTTGCTTAGCTCCCGTCTAGACCTTCCTCCCGTCGCAGGCTCCGCAGTGCTCAAGTGCTGGCAGGATCGGGGCACTCGTGAGCGCTGAAGGAGGGGCTCTCTGCCGATACCTGGCTCTCCTGCCGAGGCTGATAGCCTGCCGGCACTAATACCTTGTTGTGTCTCCTGAATGGTTTCTTAGGGACAAACACTTGTGGAGTTAATTGGAATTCACTCCTCTGTGAAACTTCACTGGAGCAACTGGAAAAACAAACATCTTTGGCAAACAAGGTCGCAGCGCTGAGGTTTTCTACTTTAAAAGACGAGCCAGGGGCAGTGGGTGCTCGGCTGTGCTCTGTGGAGTGAGGCCTCAGGGATGAGATTGGGATGCAGGAAAGGTGAGGTGTGTCTGGATCCTGAGCCTCAGGACAGGGACAGACACCGTGACAATGGTGACCCCAGCCCAGCTTCCTCACGTCTGCAGAAGTCACAAGTGGCTTCTTAGAGTTTCCACTCTGAGCATTTTTGAAGTAAAAAGTGGTAATCAATGACAAACATGTGATGGCTTTTCCCACCCCCTTGTCCAGACCAAGGAGTCTCACGTGTAGGGTGTCCCACTGACGTGCTGGCTTTGTTCCTCAGGGACATGGATGTGCTGCAGAGTCACCTGAGCCACCATTCCCTGTTCCTGGAGCAGCACCGGGCTCGGGCCCCGGAGGGAGCAGCAGAGATGTCTGACGACCTGCTGGCTTTGGGCAAGGAGGCACAGGACGGCCAGGTGGGCACCCACACATTACAATATGTAATTTTGGCTTTTTTGGCCCATGGCGGTGACTTCTTTCTCCGAGGGCTTTAGGGTGTTCTGGGAACCCCACTGGTGGTGGTGTGCACAGCTGGGCTGCAGGGGAAGGTGCAGAAAGGGGCCTTTGAGCTCCTGATGTACAAATGGAGCTGTTGAGTCTGTCAACTCCATCCCTGTCAGCACCTCTGGTCCACAGCAGGTTGGTGATGACCAGCAGCAGGTCCAACTTCCTTGTCTCTGATCACTGAACCACGTCTGTCTTCTGTTCTAACTCACTGTCACATCAGTGAGGAGGGAGCAGACGCAGGACAATAAAATTTTCTCCTGAATCCAAAACGTTTTGGCTAGAAATCAGTTACAGATCAGTTAGGAAACCTGGATTCTCTGAGGTTCCTCCTCAGCACCAGAGGCTCATGGTGTTGTTAAACAGCTGTTTACTGAACGCTGAGTTGGAGCAAAACATCGAGTAGATTTCACAGACTCAAGTCCGTATTTTGTGTCCCAAAACAAACGCCAGAGGAACACCCTGCAAGTAGGGTAATTTAACACCTAACAGAAACACACTGGATTTCCCTGGGAAGTACAGATCAGCCTGAAGGTAGTCGGGGAACGCTCCAGGTGGAGAATAACGGGCTGTGGCTATTCTTGTTTTCAATGCTGCAGGCTCTGCCGGTGCTGAGAGAGGCCCTTCCAGGAGAGCGTGGGGATGGGTCACCTGTCCAGGGTGAAGAGTCGTCCTGCAGTCTGCCATCGATCCCGACAGACGGCGGGGAAGGGGGGCAGGTGGAACACACTGCCTGGCTCACTGGCACGGGAGAACCAGGTAACAGTGTCACAGGGCTGGCCCCGTGCCCAGGTTCCTGCTCTGGACATGGGTGTGTTCTGCCCAAATCCATATGGGGCTGTGCCATAGCCACTGGCAAATTAGTGTGGATTTGTAATAGATTTGGGGGATTTTCCTAAATATCTCAGCATCGCTTGTCATTCTGGTTACTTCCCAAAATTAGTGATACTTGTGGTGGTGGGACTTTCTTCAGGAGTTAAAAAGCCAAGCCCTGTGGTGTGTGCACAAGATCTGTGGGTGTGCACATGTTTACAAAGCATCTCCTGTTTAGAAACTGGAGGATGTATTCGCTGCCTTTTGTTACTAAGCCAGACTGCAGAAGGACTTACCAAAAACAGAGTGGTTCATGGAGGGGGAAGCGTGCAGGGCTATTTCCCAGCTCAGGAGGTGAAGGTTTCTGGGAATCCAGTTAATTTCTGTGGCTAAGGAAGGAATATATCAGTGCAGTGAGGGCAGCTCACTCGCTCTGCCCTCGGAGCATCCCTTCCATCCCAGGCTGGGCACAGTTAGGCTGCCGTGCTCTTTACACAGCAAACGCAAACACGCTGCTTCAGGTCTCCTAAATTCATGCAACTGTTATTTGCAGAGGTGGCACAGACTTTGATTTGAGCTGATTGCCACGGTGGGTGTGATCCCCTCTGCTGCTGCTGGACAGGAGCGCAGCTTTGCCGCGGGTTTGTTGTTTCCCAAATCCCGTCGGGTCTCCAGTTCTTTAAGATGTTTGGTTGGCTGGGCCTTGTCTGGGGAAGCTACAGAGAGGCAGGGCGGCTGTGGCACGAGGTGAGTTCCCAGTAATGGATAGTTTAGATCAATAAAGAAGAGATAACAAAAGTGAGAAATTAAAGGGAGTGGGGCTTAAAAGCAAACAACCCGGGTCTGATCGCCGCCGCTTTGAAAGGGTTTCATTACGGCGCGTTCACATCCAGGAGTCACAAGCTCGTGTGAAGATGAGAGCAGGGAAGAAAGCGCAGTGGAAAAGATTCCTATTACAGGTGGAAGGGGTGGCTGCATATTAACCTCGAGCCCAGCATCCAGCCTGATTATCCAGTCAGACCGTGGTGGTTCGGTGCTGCGGGGCTGCTCACAGGCGGTACGTTCAGCCGCTGCACACAGAGCGCAGAGAGGAAACGTCAGATCAGACAGTCCAGCTCACACTGGCACAAACCAAGGTGGAGAGCAACGGGGCCTGTTTGATTCCTTGTAGTCCTGTTGCACACTCAGACCGTGTGGATATCCGGCCGTCGAGCCTTTCGGGGCCGGGATGGGTGTTATGGGGTCAGTCTCTGTGGGGAAGATCCAGTAGTTATTGGGCAAACCACACGTGTTCCTGGTTTGATTCTCTCCTCGAGGAGTTGACTGGAGCTGTTAGAACAAGTGTGGGGCAGAGCCCTGCTGGTGGGAGCTGTGCCTGTGCCAGCCAGGAGCCGTGGCTGTGCCTCCTGTACCAAAACTGCCTGAGAGCATGAATTTTGGGCAATAAGGCTTTACCCTGCTCTGTCCCCCTGCCCAGCTCCCTCACGCTGTGGTGTTTGGCCACAAAGGTGCTGGTGCAGGCGTGTCCTCAGCTGCTCCTGCAGCCCTTGCTAGGGCTCCCTCCAGCCAGCACCATCACTGATATTCCCAAGGAGAATTCCGGCTCCCAGGTCTGGATCTCTGTAGCTGCCAAGGGGTTTGGTTTGCTTCTCCCCACCCTGAGTTTTATGACTTGCCAGTCCTGGTTTTAGCCACTGTTTTGCCTATGAGTGTGTCAGGGAATTCTCTGTTGCAGATTTTCCTGCCAGGGACCCCGGGGGGCTGTTCCATGTCAGTCAGGCAAGAGCCACGTCCTGGTGATCATCCCCCTTCCTGATCTCTCCCAACTCTCTCACAGAACAGACACGCAAACACAAATGCTTCCTATGTGTAAAAATGGCAATGAACTCCTTAACCAAACCCAGTAACTGCAGTTTACATCCATCCCTTCGGAGGGTGCTGTGTTGGCTGTTCTGCAGCCACGTTGTCCCCAGGAACGAGGCTTCTCACCCCTCACTTGAAAGCCGAGTTGCTCCTTTCAGACACGATTCATCTTCAGCCCATGATCTTCTCCAGGCTCCTTGTTGTGCTCCCACTCCTCCCTGCCAGCCAGCTGCTCTTTGCTTTTTATCATCATTATTTGCTGTGGCCCCAGAGCTCTGAAGTTTTCTGTGCCTAAAATAGAAGCAGTGGCTTTTGGGCTGGAACAACTCGTTCCAGGGTTTTAGTTGAACTGACACTTGATGTCCATCCATATAAGATTATTTTGCTGTGCGACTTTTTCTGTGCTTAAGGGATACAAATTTTGGGTTGGGTTGTTTTGGTTTTTTTTTCAGTATTTGCTGAGTTCTTGAAGCTTTGGTTTGAAACACCAGAAGCCTTTTGAGGCTTTGGGGTTTGATGGACTTTGCTGTGGGAACCGTGTGGATGCGCTTCCAAGCGGTCTTTGGGATGGCACTTTAGGAATGCTTCTGGGATTTTGGTTTATTAAAAAGAGAACCAAAATATTTATTTAATATTCTGCGAATATTCCTGAAGTATTTGTGTTGGCTCTTTAATGCCTGCAGGGGAGGAAGGAGGTGGCTGTAGGGAAAGGGCTTTGGGGTGTGGGATGTCCCTCAGAGACAGCCTGGGCTGGTACCTGGAGCTCCTCTGCACAGAGGCTTGGGCAGGGATCTGCCGAGCACTTCCCACCCGGAGCAGGACACGGGAGCTCTGAACGCCCCTGTCTGTGATCAGCTGGGGGCGTGGGGGCACCGTAACTCGTAGCACGAGCGTGGGTTTGTTCCTAGAGCCCTGTCCGGAGCCCGTGGAAGGCTGTGCAGGGATAACTGGCTTTAAAAGGATCATATCTGGTGCATGGTCTCACCCAGAGAGGAGCTGGGCTGATAACAGCCATCTCCTTTGATACCGGGTTATGTGAGGATACAGGGGGATATCTGGGCTCCTTCTCATCTCCTCCGAGGACGCTTTGTTTTTTATCAGGGAAGACGCGCAAAAGAAATTGTTCAGCTCTTTGGCTGTTCCTGAGGTAGGTGAATAACGTGAGATTAAAAAGGATAAAAATCCATTATTTCTTGTTTTGCTGGATGGCTGCTTAAGAGTCTCATTTATGAGTAGGAAATTGCTGATTTTATTGAAGGGGCAGGCTTGTTAAATCTTTAACAAAACCAGATTCTCTCTCTCTCTCTCTCCCCCCTTCATTTGTGTCTCTGATTTGAACAGACATTAAGGCTATGCAGGATTTGAATAAAAATGGTGTAACTGCTCCACTCATTGGGCTTTGCTTTCCCAACGGCCTGTGTGTCACCTTCCAGCTCCCCTCCAGGTGTAAAATATCCAATATAGGAACAAGGAGGAAAAGCCCTCTGAAGAAGAAATAAATTAGCCCTTCTTTATATACCCTAAGGGAACATGAAAGAGCACCAACCCGATCCTGCTTCCCTTTCCAGGCCACCTTTAATGAGCCAATAATCCTGCCAGCGCTCTGCCCACGCCCACGCCTCCTTCCCCATGGGCTCCTCCTTTGAGCTGGAGGCTCAAAGGTTCCCAGGCTCCTCTTGGAGTGCACTAATAAAGGCATTAATAAGTCTCACCCAACTTTTCCCTTCGTTTGATATCTTCCATTCGCTGTGATGGAGGAAGTTCCACCCTGTGCCACGGGCCGTGGCTGCTGGGGCTGCCAGAGCTGCCTTGGGGCAGCACCAGGCTGGATGCTGGGCTTAAATCAGGCTGGGGGACGCCCTCCAGGAGGGGGTGTTTGACACTGAAGTTCCTAAAAGACCCCAGAGGCTTTTTAGAGTTGTGAATTCTGGGTGGAAACTCTTCCATCTTTAAGCAGAGGCAGCAGCTTCTAAAGGCATCCTCAGTGGATTGCCTGAGTCCACTGGGCAGCCCAGAGTCTCCTGGTGGCAGGGAAACACTGTACTGTGGAGGACTGTTTATAAGAACATTTATCCCTGTATTTAATTTAAAGGATGAGGACATATCTGTTGGTGTTTGACTGGAAGCGCAGTGGTCAGTGTGAGGAGGGTGGAGGAGCTCGTTCCTCTGTGCATGAGCACAGCTGTATTCCCAGGAAAACCAGCAACCTGGAGATCTACCTTTCCCATTTCCAGGCAGACAGGGTCAGATATGCAAAGTAGCCTTTTTAAAGTGGGATTTGTGCTTGAGCATCGGTGTGCTTTGGAAACAAATATAAAGATGAGCAATTGTCTGACTCCAGTGAATGAACCCATTTGCTTCTGCCTTTTTATTTTAAATAGATCTTTACAGAATGGAAATGAGATCCACAGAGCAGGGGGGAAAAGGGAAGAAAGGAAAGTGTGGATCAAAGGCTTTGAAATAGTTGTTTGGTTTGCCCTTTAAGTCATAAAAATCCCAAGACACGTCTAATCCAATTTTTATTGAATTTATTTATTTATTATTGTCTAATAATTTGTCTAATTCAAGAGAATGATTGAAAACACTGAGACATCAAATAATATTGAAAGAACTGTAACATTTCAAAATAATCTACATTTAAGGGGAAGGAGAAAAGAAATAACCTTGCTTCTGATTAAAGTAAATGGGAACTTGGGGATTAAAAAAAAAAAGTAAAAATACTGCAGAAATCCTTTAAGCTTTGCTTAGAGTTGCCATGATCCAAAACAGTTCTGAAGACAAGCTCTCCGTGCTTGCTCCTTTTTCTGAAATGAGGCAAAAGGTGTGTAAAACTTTGCCAGTTTGGAAGAAATCCCCATCACAGCCCAATTGCTGGGGAGGGAGTGCTGTTTCCCTGGTTTGAGCTGATTTCCACTCCACCAGGAGCAGACCCTCTGGAGGCAGCTGCCATTGCTGCTGCTCTGCTCACACCTTGGAAAACCAGAGCTGCACTGCTGTGGTGGGATCCAGCTGTTGGGATTGGGGTGTTCACAGCTCCTGTTTTTCCTGCCCAGGTCGGGATATGGACGATGACAGTTCCAGAGCGAGTGACAGCCGGGAGGCACCTCTGGAGACCAGCTCTTCGTCGGATGGAATAGTCCTTCCCTTCTCCAGGTAAGGGCATTGGATCTGTAACATTGGAAATGCTTCCACAGCACGAGAAACACTGACAGGAAACCACCAAAGCTCCCCTGTTTTTTGTTTGTTTTTTTTTTTAATTGTTAGTGGTTTTTTTTCACTTGAACCTGGGTTGAAGTTTGTGTTTCTGTTCACGTAACAGAACATGGGGAGTCTGAACGCCTCAGGAACTGTCTGTGCCAAAGCCAGGTGTGGTCTGGCAGCTGCTGTTCCTCGTTTAAGGCTCAGTTGACACCTCGGTGAACCCCGGCCGAGCACGTCCAGCTGCTTTCGGTGTCAGCTCGGGGCAGGATGGGGAGGATCAGGAGAGGGGCAGCCAGGGAGCAAAGTGTGCCAGCACTGAGGAGGTGGGGTTCTGCTCTGCGTGTCTGAGGTGTAAACCAGGTGTAGCTGATGGTGCTGCCCGTGGGCTCAGGGGGGTTATATTTGATACTGGCTGTTTAGAATGTGCCTTTCTGGTTTCCAGCGGAGGGTGTTAATTCACCTGAGGGGTGCAGGGCGTGCTGGTTTTATTAAAAAAGGAGAGAAAAGGTGGTTCGTGTGTTTTAACCTTTGGCTCCATGGGCAGTGCTGCTGGATGCTCCCTGTGCTCGTCACTGGTGTGGGACAGGGATCAAATTGGTGCTCAGGAAGCAGCAGAAAATGGGGATAATGCAGCCAGCTCCTGGAATGCTGGCCAGGCTTTTGGTCCTTCCCTGCCCCTGTTGGAGCAGCCCAGCACATGGGTGCTGTGGCTCCAGCTGGAAAACCACCGGTGGGGACACTGGGGGAGGGACTGCAGGGCCTTCAGGCAGGTTATGAACTCCTCCCATGTCCATGACATGGAGCTCCATGACATGGAGCTTCCTGGAGGGTTTTTTAGGTTGCTGTGGGTGAGGCCAGTTCCAGTTCTGCACTTGGTGTTAGGATGACAGTGTTTCTAGAATTCAAGCCCAGTAAATACAGGCTGTAACCAAGTATCGATGAATGGCGCTCCTGTGGGGGATTAGTTCTTACTGTCTCAGATTCAAGTTTTTTCTCCTCTTTTAGATTTTTTTGGGACTATGAGAATGGTGTTCCTCATGCTATGAAATGCAAGGGTGCTCCTATAGCTGAGTTTTGGAAGTGTTAAATGTTAACCCTTCCCTGAAGCCTAGAACAGCAGGAGGAGCAGGATCAGGCCCTGAGAACTTGCTTAAAGGATCACTGAATCTGAATAAAATGCATAATTTAAAATGAAATATTTCTTATTTAAAAAAAAAAATCCTCTGCAAGCTTTATCTCCACTGCTACTGCACTGCTGGCTAATGGTGCCTCCAGCCACGTCTGACTCGATCAGATGCTGTTTGGTTTTTTTGCCTTTTTTTTCCCTCCAAATTCCTGTTTGTGGTAGATTTCAAATCGTTCCCTCTGCCCTATAATTTCAGGCCTTTCGGTGCTCGGCGGCAGCACCTGTCGTGCACCGATAGGTGATGATGCTGCCTTGAAAAAAAACCCATAATAAATCTCTTACAGTGGCTTAGAGTTGGCTTTTCTAAATGACTCAAAGCCAGCGCAGCCTTCCCAGCGCGGGGTTTGGGAACAGCCCCTTGCCTTTGGACGCCCAGCCCCGGCTCCGTGGAGCCAGGGGGCGGCCGAAGGAGGGAGGAAGAGGGAGAGATGTTTGCAGCCAGGCCGTGCCGCGGTTCCTGGGCTCCCCTGCAGCCACTCCTCGGGCTTTATTGCTTTCACAAGTGGTCTCAAACCCACTACTTGAGAATAAACATCCCTGCGAGCTCGGCCGTGGCACTTTATAAATTCTCCTTTGCCGCGTTTTGTCACTGAGCTGATGAGTGACCCCGGCGCAGACCCCGCCGGACCGGAATAAAAACCGTGGCTCCTCTGATGTCCCCCAGACAATAATTATCATGTGCCAGTTAAGCCCAAACTACAGCTGAGGGATTTTACTTTAAAGCGGAGGCTCGGGCGCAAAAATGCATTTATAGCTCTTTGTCTGGCACCTCATTATGTGTGGGCCTGATTCATTAAGTAATTGGTTTGCAGTTGTTTACATGAGTATTAAGGCTTTCTATTCAGCAGCCTTTGAGATACACATTGTGCAAATGTTGCATGTTATGAATGCGGAATGAGGGGCCGGGGCCCGGCCCTATTGGCTAAACACTGCGCGCTGTTGAAAAGCAAGAGAAAGACATTGGGTGCTGCTTTGCATAGCAATGACTTTCTTAATAAGCTTTACAGATTGATACACACAAGCTATAAAAGATGCAAAGAGATACTCTTAGCACATTTATCCATGCTCGTTTCACTATTATGGGCCTGGAGAAGGGAAGAATTGAGGGCTTTCATACTCGGGTTTTCAGTGCGTGTCTTCAGTGCATGAGACTTAATAGAATCCGATGTTTATTGTATTATAAATCATGGGGAAGTAGGCAGATCTGCAACAGTTTATTATTAAAGATTCTTTCAATGTAAATCTTTTTCTGCCATTGTATTTCCTACAGCAAAATCATTTTGTGGTTGAGTGGGGATGAAAGGCATAATGTACGACGGAGTGAGTCTTAATAGGAAACTGCTCTCCGAGTAAAGACCACTTGTTCCCTTTTGTTCGGCGGTGCATGCCAGAGCTTCCTCTCCTCCCGCAAACGCCGCCGGCTCTACCTCCGGCGAGGGAGCTGCTTGTCCCTGGCCTCCTCCGCTTTCCCGGGGGATGCTTCCCCGCACACAGCCGCACCTTCGGTTGGCGGAGCGGGCGCGTTTCGGCGGGGCAGAGGCGTCAAACCCCGCGCTCCTGGGGGAGGAGGTATCAGAAGTCAGGGCCGAGCCGTGGCCGAGCGCAGGCGGGCGGCCGGCGATGTGTGTGGCATTCCGGGGGGCTGTAGCGATGGATGCGGCCAGTGGAGGTCACTCGTTTTCTGGGAATTCCCCCGTTTCGGACGCGAGCGGTTTTTTATTTTCCTTTGGCTCGTTTGGGCTGTCTCGTTTCAAAATAAGCTGGAGATTAAAGATGCGTTATCGGCCGAGAACCAAAGCGGGGTGTGGATTTGTCGGGACACCAACACGGTGTAAAGTGTTGTAAACTTTGATTAATCTGCTCAAGGACTCCGGGGGGGTCTCTGAAGGCTGTTTTATAGACGAATGGAGCCGTTTTACCCAACGCAGATGTAGTGACATGCAAATAGAAGCTGGCAGAGTCTAATTCATCTCTTAATTACTCTCTGGGCGATGTTTAGCGTGGCCCCGTTGGCTTTGGCCATCGGGGGGCACTCGGGCTCTGTGCATCCCCCGCCTCCCCCCTGCCCAAACCAATCCTGGCTCGGAAATCTCTGCTCGTCTCCGAGGAGAGTTCCCAGAGGTTTGGGGCTGGGAGTGCTCAGGAGATGCACAAATGCATTTCTCCTGGAAATACAGAGAAAGTGGCACTGTGTGGGTCTGGATTCCTGAGAGGTGCACCCAGAATCCAGCCAGGATCTGATTGTTTCATCCCCCCGACGTACTCTGTTGTCAAATGGCTTCCGTAAGAAGCTGACTGAGAATTCCAGCCCGATTTTCCACTGTCACAGCTGTTTCTGTGAGCTTTGTTTCCTCCCCCTGAGCACCCAGCTGTTGCAGAGGCAGCGATGTTGTGGTGGCGATGCCCTGCCAGGTTTGTGGGGAGAGGCACCAACATCTGCCCGCTGAGGACAGAAGGAATAGTGAATTTTTTGGCAGGGCCCCTGCTCTCCTGCACAGCTCCCTCGCAGCGCTGTGATGTGTCTTTGTGTTAGTGGGGTTTTCTGTTTCAGCCTGGTGGATCTAAACAGAGGATGGTCTCAGACGCAGCTCGATAGAAATCTCTGTGTCCTAAAATAAAGGTCATGCTACTTACAGTGTAATTACTGAAATTCAGTGTTATTACTCCAATTCCGGTGTGATGAATGGACTTTTTTGAGTCTACACTGACTCCGTAAATGTGTATAGTATATGGACTGTATATATTTGGCTTTCCAGGGCGGGGAAATCTCTTGGCATTTGGGATTTCCCAAGTTGTTTTGTTGTCTTTTTCACTTGACACTAAAAAATAGAGGTTCAACAGGTGCTCTAGCAAAAAGGTAATCAGGTCAAAGTAAAAATTTTCTGCTGTTTTCCAGCAAGCCCCCTCAATTAATATGGCTCTTGTTGTCCTGGTATTTTCCTCTTAATATTAATTTTCCGTATGGAGGAAAAAAATATTTTCTTGGAGCTTTTTAATTTCTTACTGTTGCAGCATCTTCAATACAAAAAAAAAAAAAGCCTGTTTCATCAGAGAAATGGAGAGATTAAAAGGCCCTTTGAAGTGAAACTGGTTTGGGTTTTTTCTTTGTTAGGGCCTGGGTTGAGTTTGGAATTATTTTAGGGGAGAAGCAAATGTGTAGATGGCTCTGGGAGGGTCAGGCCGGGGGATTAGTCGGGGCGGTGGAAGGGGCCTTGCTGCGTTTGCACCCCGGACGTTCCCGGCGGGCTCTGTGGTCATTGTGTGCTCCCTGCTCGCTGCAGCTGCATCTCACAGCTTCACCCGGCACTCCAGCCCTAATTCCAGGATTTACTCCCTGTTCCCCAGCCCCTGGCAGCGTTTTCCAGCCTTGGTTTGGGGGAGCTGCCATTTCCCGTCTGGCCTCTCCGACGTCCTCGTATCCCCGCGGCATTTCCCTGCGCCACTGGCTCCCTGCTCCCTGTCTCCCTCTCTGGGGATGGCTGTGTCGTGCCAGCACCCAACTCCAGGCTGTCTGGGGAGTGAACCCCATTCCACATGTGGTGGATTAGCCCTGGGAGGATGAACCCTAGTGAATGGATGGTGTTGGGTAGGACACAAACACCTGTCTCCCCCCTTCCCTGTCTTTCTCTTTGTGGGAAGCTGGCTTGGCAGTGGCAAGGTCTCCAGACCTTCCTACAGCCATGGTGATCCTTCTCCATGAGACCACCAGCCTTTGGCCGTGCCTGGAGGACCAAATCCTGCAGCCCTGGGTGGTCCTGCACTGGTGGTCCCTTGGTGGTCCTTGGCAGGGTGTCGGTGTTGGGCCCAAATCACTGAGCCACCGGTGTTTGTTCTAGGATTGAAGCATGGAGAGAAGTGGGACAAAAAGTCCCTCCTGGGGACCTCCTGGAATGGCTGAATAACAGAACCCCCTGCTCCCTTCCCAGCAGCGGGCCAGGACGTGGCCGGAGGGGAAGCAGTGGCTGCTGCTGCTGCCTGAGCTCCTGCTCAGCCACTGGGAGCTGAAATGGTTCCCGTGCCGGCTGCCCCAGGAGGCACCTCGCCAGCTGGAGCTCTGCAACAAGTGGCTTTTTGCTCCACACCCAGGGGAGAACAGCACAGCCCCTTCAGCACATGGAGCACCTCCTGGGGAATGCTGAGGGTCGGGAGATCTCACCCAAGGGAGCAAGAGTTTGGAGCGTTCGGTGTATTCCAGAGGCTCTGGCTTCAAATGCTCGCTGGGAATTCTGTTGAGTGAATTCTTTGAAGGAGAAGTTGGGCTGTGAGGCAGTGTGGGGTTTGGCTTGGAATGAAAGGGAAAGGTACTGGGATGGTGCGCTCAAGGAACGTTGGAGAAACATTTGGAGCCTGACATTTTATAGTTTCTTACTGAATACATTAATAATTAGTGGTATCACTGTGAGTACTTCACTGGTGCTGTCACTTGGTTGCCATCTTGGTGGAACCTGGGCTGGGTTTAATGTTCTGGGAATTTCTGTCCACAAAGAGAAGGGAGCCTGTGTGCCAAGGAATGGGATTTGAACAGTGTGAGCTTTCTCTGGGTTAAAAGGAAGAGTGGCTGCACCCTGGTAGCTGCAATGTATGAAACTCCTGCTTTATGTGTGGCTTTCCAGCTGCAGTCCCAAATTCTGACTACCAGGGAGTAACACGAGCAAGGAATCATCCCTGCTTTTTTTTCGTCTCCTTCACAGATGCCTCCACAACGTTGAAATGTTTTTAACTCCCCACTTTAAGGACTTCTGTATCGGCTGCCAGGTTTTTCCATGAAACACAGCAAATGGCAGGACATTTCAGAGAGCTGACTGAGTCCTGTTGTGGCCGTGGCCACAGCTTCCAGCTGCACCTTGACATTGGCTTACATTTCACTGCTTGGCCCAGTGATGGCCCAAATATCTCCTATTTGATCTTCCTTATTAAAATCAGCTGAAGGTTTATTTTTAGGGCTTCTTGCAGGGCCGTTGCTGTAACAGTTAATTCTCCCCCATCGTTGCCCCCCGTGTGATTATTCCACAGCCCCAACACAATGCACGCGCTGCACACAAAAGATCAAAATGATTCCAGCTTGTTTGAGAGATTCAAAAGGGCCTGTGATGCTCCAGACACAAGAGCAGCCATTTACCAGAGCAGGCTCGGGCTGCACACACATCAAGGTAGATCAAAGGCAGCGGAGATTGCACATTTCCATGGGGCCGGGGGGACAGCCGGGAATTGGGAATCGGGAATTGGGAATCGCGCGGGTCAGCAGGCATGTGCGGGGAGGAAGGGAAGGAAGGAAGTGCAGGAGCAGCACTGGGGTGCTTTCATTTTTGTTTGGATTTTGTCTTTACATACTTTGTGTGCTCTGGAAGGCTGCAAAAGCTCGACAAGGCCCTGCTCCTTTGTACCTGGATTCAGTGCCGGTGTAGATCAGTGCCGTTACCTGGGAATGACTCCAGGAACAACTGCACCAGTGTTCCTGCTGCATGTGGATTTCTCCACCTTTTAGGTGAAGAAACCCTTGATAAAATAGTTATTTAAAAAAAAAAGTAGTTACAAAACTTACTGATATTTTTTTAAAACCATCTCACAGTATTTTTTAAAAAGTCACTTTTAATCTGTGACACTGTGCTGATTATTTGAAATCTTTTACAGGACTGAGACACGGAAGGAGAAAGTAACTGCCATAAAATCCAAAGGTAAGAGACAAGTGTTACACTACTGAAAATCAGTGTCTTGTGTAATTTATACTGTAAAAACCCTCCCATAACTATGTTATGACCTGTATAAAGTATGGAGACAGGAAAGAGTGGAATTGCCCTGTCTCAACATAGGAGCCAGCAGGAAGCTGAGGAGAACAAATTCTAGGACAGAGAGGAGGTGTTTGTGGTGCAGGTGGTGTGGAAGGAGTCAAGATCTTTGCAGGGTTTAGTCAAATGACTGTGAACTGCAAGTGGAGGAAACCCAGAGAAGGAAAAACCTGAGGTTTCCTTGGTTTTCCCACAGCAGGGCCACAGCAGGACATGGGTGCAGCTGGATGGTTTTGTCCATTGCCAGGCTATTTTTGTTCTGAACTGGTGTGTGCACCCTGCATGTTTTCGCTCCCCAACATTCCAATTCTCCCTTTTCCCCACCCCAAGGCCCTCTGGGGCCTGCAGACACCTCTAGCTGAGCCTCCTGCCAGCGAGGCATCTCTGGGAGCCCTTTGCCTGGAGCCCCACTCCAGATGCTTGGCAGTCTGGAATGGCACAGTCTTAGAGGTGTGGCACTGCACCAAGGTACAGATGCCATCAGCAGTGGCTGCTTTGGTGCCACTTGAAAGGCTCTCACATCCCCAGCCCCGTTCCTGGAGCCATTCCACACGGGAGTGAGTGCAGGGCTCGCTCTGATGTTCCCGGCGGAGCACAGCCCTGCGGCCCAGGGGGCCGGGATGGAGGATGAAAGATGCAGCTGCTGCATTTGTAGATAAGGTGTTCGTGGAGCTGGTGCCGTCAGAGGCCTTAGCAGGGCCTCAGACACGAGCTGCAGTGTGTGTGTGAGCGTGACAGCCTTCCGCCCTCCTCTGCCTCTATCCCCGGGCCTCATTCCAGGCATCGCAGCTCCCACACTGCCTTTGGAGAGCCAGCAGCCTCTGGAATGGTTGGGAACAGAGAGCACAGCTCTGTCAGCCACTGCAGCCTTGACTTCAGGTGCCACACTTCCCACTGTGTTTTATCCCCGGGTCAAATGAATTTACATATTGAGAAATCTCTCGGGCGCTCTGAATTGCAGGGGGGGTTCTGTTGATGTCAGGGAAAGGGTTTGCCAGTTCCCAGAGCTGTCAGTTAAAGCCATGTCTTTTGTGGAGATCAGGCCTGCCCGGGTCTGATCTGATCTCCAAGTGGTGATTTTTCGCTTGTGACATCACTGCCATGTTTGTGCCAACTCTGTGATGTCATGGCCTGCTGGTGACTTCACCGCGGGGTCAAGTAGCAGCGGGAGAAAGGGGAAGAGAATAGACAAAGCTGCAATTCAGGCAGCAGCTGGTCAAGTAAATTGGTTGGAGTGGAAATGTTCTGCCCAGCTACCTTGAGGCACAATGGAGTGGGAGTGCTGAATGAAGCCGCTGTCCGGGCACAGCCGCTCTGCCCCGGGCACCGTGCGGGGCCGGGCACACAACCTGGGCTGGGGGCTTCAGACTGCACCTCCTCCATCAGCCACGGGGCCTGGGGAGAGCTGCCCAGCGGTCGTGCCTGTGACAGAGGGCACCCCCGTGGAAAGGGTTTTACTGCTGCGGTTTCTGTGTCCTCCCCCACAGCTTTCTGGGGTGAATCCGACGACAGCAGCTCTGAGCTCGAGGCCGCCCTGCGCCCGCAGACCCACAGCGCCCAGTCAGACGACTTCGATGACTTCTATGCTTGAGGTTCCCTGCTGGCTTCTGGGGAGAAGCAGAAGCGTTTCAGAGCCCACTCACCCTCAAAGTGAGTGTGCTGTGGGCTGAAGCACTGCTCGTCACTTTACGGGCAAAGGAAATGTAAATACCAAATAAACATCACGGGTCCTACACGCTGTACGTGTGCTCTCTCTGACCTGCTCTGACAGTAACCCTGCCCCCTGAGAACCCCCTCCTGAGGCTTGTCTGCATTCCACTGTTTGGACTCCAGAGCTAGACGTGGTTTGGAAAGCAGCAGACGAGCATTGTGGGTACGCAGACAGGCACTGCTGGGGCGGGCTGGCTTGTTTGATCTTTATCTTCTTCTGCAACAGATCAAGAAGAAGAAATGCATAAAATGTCCATTTGTAATTCAGCACATTTTGGAAGAGAGCAGCATTTACATGTGTAGAGCCCCAGTGCTTTCCTGCTTTTCCCTGCTTTGTGAAATCTGTGCTGGTGCTGCTATGTGGACATCACAGTAATTGGATGACTCTAGGAGCTTCATGCATTTTTAATTTCCTTCTTTTCATTCCTTTTATCTAAAATTAAGTTCATTAAACATGAGATTTTCTTTCGAAGGGAGACATATTAAAAAAAAAAGCTGTTCATCATGATGACAAGTTCAAAAACAGAAACCAGCACCCCAATTAAACTGTGCTGCGCCGCAGCCCCACGTCTGCCACAGCCACCAATCTCCACACCCTGTCCCTCAAAAACAACTTAAAAATGGTAACAACATTGAATTTGATAAAAACACTTGGGCTGAGAGCTCAACAGTTTGAAATAATGGCTCACAGAAGGCTTGGAAATGAGCAGAAACCCTTGGTGCAGCTGGCTGCTGTGGGTTACAGTCCAGCATTGGTGAGGGTGCAGCCTGGAATGTTCTGGGATTTGGGAAATCAGCTGCACCAAGGATGGAGCCAGGTGAGTCTGGATGAGGTTTTTCCTTGCGCACTGCAGCGTCGCCTGGGAGAGCTGAATCATGTCTGAACCCAGCACGTGAGGGCTGGGGTGTCATCATCCCTCACTGCCTTTTCCTTATCATCCCTAATTCCTGGTAACTCACTCTGGATAGTCCTACCCATCTGCAGATGTAAGCTCCCCAGCACAGACAGGCTGTGGTACGGGATGGCTCAGGCACTGTCAGCCCAAGGTTCAGCTGGAAAAGTCTCTCCAGCAGCCTGTGCTGCCATGTGACATTGCCTCAGATCCGTGGTGTCTGTGCAGCTTTAAGCTCTTCCTGAGCGATTCCCGGCTGCTGATGTCAGCCCACTGTATATCTGCTGGCATGACACCAGCCTGTGGGGTTTCCATCCCTCAGTCCGGCTCAGCCCCCGACGTGTGGCCCGTGACAGGTGACGGATGGCTGCGGGAGCCGAGCGCGGGCAATCTCTGCCTCTCGGCGTCGGAGCGATAGCCGAGTTCCGCAGCAGCAGCAGCATTTGTGATGCTCTTATTGTGCACAGGCTCATTACATGCAAAACATCCTGCCAGTCAACTTTGCTCCGCTCCTTCACGGCTGTCACGCCGCAGCCGGGGATGATGGCAGGTGACGGTGACGGACAGGGGGACTGGAATCAATACAGCCCGGGCAGATTTCCATCGGCACGCCACTCATCCCTGGAAAATATCCTAATGGGAAGCCTTCCCTGCTCCTGTTCACGGTGACACGGCGCTCCGTGCGCTTCTCACGGACACGCAGTTCGGAGGTGGGACCCGGGCTCGTGCCCCGGCGTGGCTGCTGGTGCTTAGACCAACTTTTCAAGGGATTGTTTGTTGCAGCATTAATTATTCCAGCACTTGTTTACCCAAGTAATTATAAGATAAGACGATCACATTTCATTTGCGTCCCGCCAGCCTTCTGTTTTTCTTTGGCATTATCAGAAAAACAACTGATTGCCCATCAATACAAACCAAATGTTAATGCTAAGCTGCCGTACTCCGCACGAAATTCCAGGAGGAGAAGCACTACAATAGGAAGCTTCAATCAGGGAACTGTTTTGTAAGGAACAGATAAAGGACAATCTTTAGCTGATACCACAGGTGTGGTGCCACTACAAAGTTGCTGGGGAAATTTATTCAAGTCACAGATTTTATTGAGAGGAACGACAACAGAAAACGGCTTAACAACAGCCAAGTGAGGATAAGAATAATGAGAGACACAATATTGGGTTAATTTGTTCTACAGAGAATTAGCCCAGTACCAAGGTTCCCCTCCGCTCCCCAAATTGGCGGCATTGACTCAACAAGCACTGCTGAGATTTTGTTATTTTTGTTAATGATTCCCGGGCTGCTTTTCCCTGTCCTCGCCCCTGTCCCTGCCCTCCTGACGGAGCTGCCATGCGGCAGCGGGACACGGCGGAGCGCAGAATCCTGCCTTGTGTTAATCCCATTTAATACCCAAATGTTTAATTCCATTCCGGCACCGTCAAACAGCCACAAATTAATAGTATTTACTTATGCCACGGGCAGAGCGAGGGGATGGGGGCTCTTTGCCTCGTGCCGCCGTCGTGGATCACATGGAGCCATTTCACACCGGCTGCGTCTGGAAACGTCCCCTTCAGAGGGGACAGAGCGGCCGTGCCCTGAATCGCTTTTGGTCTTGCAAAATGTGGAATATGTCAAGATTATTTTAGGATGTTCTTTGTTGTTTGATCTTTGTATATACTTTCAAGCCTGATCAGCAAGAAAGGAGACCTGGTCAGTGGGACAGGCAGCAGCTGCATCCCTCAGCCAAGGGCATCCAGGAACTAACAAGTTTTAGGGACACAGCAAATCAAGACGTTAACGTCTATCTATGTATGCATTATTGACTTGGTGAAATACTCAAGGTCTGCGTATCCTACAGCTGAACTGTGTTCACTGTAATACTAAAAATGATGCCTGCAGGTCGAAAAAGACCCTGCGCAGGTGAAAACCCTTCCTCCCAGGACGCAGGGAAGTTGATGTAACTCGTGTAACTTGCATGAAAATTACTGATCAATCCTAGTAGAGGGGCTGTGCTTGGGAAGTTACTGACTCTGGCTTTCCGTGTATAAATAACGGCATATTTGTGGAATGCACCGAGCACTCAGGGTTGGGCAGCGCTTAAATAAATCACCGATGTCTCTGCCATGCGTCATTACTGGCTCGTTGGGCAGCCCTGCCGTGTGCCGCCGCCCGAACCACCCCACGGCGGCAGCCCGCGCTTGGCTTTTATTAGCAAGGAGCTAACAGGGGGTGTTTCTCCTGATAAACTGCCTGTTTAGGGCTGTGGGGCAGCGGTTCCCCGCCGGTTCCCTCCCGCCGCCATGGCGGTGCCCTCAGCCCGCACCCAAGATGGCGGCGGGCGCGGCCCCGCCGCCTTTCCCGTGCCCGCGCGGCCCCGACCCCGGAAGTGCCGGCGGAGCCCGCCGGTCCCGCTCCCGGCCCGGCCCCGCTCCCGGCCCCGCCATGGGGGTCCCGGCCCTTCTTCCGCTGGCTCAGCCGCAAGTACCCCTCCATTCATCGTCACTGCGTCGAGGAGAAGGTGAGCCGCCCTCCGCACCGCCGCCCGCCGCGCCGCGGGCCCGCGGCGCTCCGCGGGGCCGGCTGGGCCGCAGCGCTGAGCTCTCCCCCCCCATCCGCCCCTTTCCCCGGGGCCGCTTGTTTATGTTCGTTCGGTTTTATTTGTTTGTGGGGAGGGGTTCGGCGGTTCCGGTTTGGTTCGGGGAGTTGTGGCGTGGGTTTGGGTGGGGGATTTTTCGGGGGGGCGGCTTTCGGTGCCGGTGGAAGCGGCCCCGGCGCAGGGGGAGGCACCGTCCGTTTCATTCCACGTGCGCCGCTGGAGCACCGGGCACATGGACGGCGGGAAACGGCCACCCTGGGACAGCGGGGATGGACGGGCACCTGGAGCAGGGAACCGGCTTTCTCCCACGATTTCCCGGTCTCCAGCCCGTTCCCCGGGATCCCAGCCCTTCCCGGCGCGGTGGGCTCTGCCTCTGTGCAGCCCCGGGCAGGAAAAGCGGGATCTGTGGCAGTGTTTTTGGGTTGAGCAGGGAGCAGTGGCGGTGCTTTTCTTGTGTGTTGTTCCTAGTTCCTGCTTTCCACAGCCTTTTTTTTTTTTTTTCTGGGGAATTAGGAGCTGCAGCGAGCTCCGGGACTTGCTGGAGACGCAAGTGCAGCTGCCTGTCTTGGGAAGAGGGAGGAAATGCAACGGAAATGGTTAAAAACAGTTTGAGGGTCTGGGAGCGTCTCAGTTTCCCCGAGACCTCCCTGTTTGCAGCAACATAAGTGCCAGGGTCCTGCTGGGGGTGTGGGATCGGGAGAGGGGATGCCAGAACACGAGGGAGGGCAGGAATGGGACACTGGAGAAGAAACTGGGCTGTGCCTTGGAGCTGCAGGGGATTCGTGGGAAATCAGAGATCCCCACTGTGCACATGGCAGTCTGCCTCCTGGGGCTCTCAGCCTCCCGAATAACTCGCAGCTGGGTCATTTCCAGGTCTTACTCATTATTTTATCAGTCTTTTATTTCACGTCTTAGTTGTTCTGCAGCTTCCTGCTTTACCCTGGTGCTTTATTTTTGGAATACCCCCACGAACCCAGGACATCACGCTGCATCCAGGACTCAGAACAAGTCTGGGCTTGTGCTCTGTAACTTCGAGCAGCCTCAGGAGTTTTTATCTCATTGCTGGTGTTTTCTCCCTCCTGCCCGAACACAGAGCTGACTTTTCCAAAGGCACGCTGTAAAATCTGGCTTTCCGTGGCAGCAGGAGGTGGTTTTGGCGAAGGCTTAGCCCCAGCCTTGCTGCTGGGTCCTGCAGGTGCCCTTCAGGGCAGTAAGGCAGCTGAAATGATGTCTGTTTGCATGTTTTTATTAGGCTGGTTGCTTAGGGCACATCCCTGCAGCCACGGGGAACGTTGTGCCGTGCCAAGGGAGGCGGTGGGAGGGGACAGGGAGGATGGAGGGGTCTCCCTTCCTCTGCAGCCTTTGAGTAGCTGCCCCGTGGTGGCTTTTCAGTGCCCTGTTACCCCAGAGCTAACTCAGAGTGTTTCTGAGCAGACAAACGCTGGAGTTCTCGCTTTCCAAACTGCTTTTCCTGTACGCTTCTCCAGATACTTTGTATTCTCTGTGGCTGTGTTGTGCTTGGCTGAGTTCTGCCCTTCCAAACACTGCCTTGGGAAGTTCAGGTCTCTGCTGCTGAGCCTGTGCCTCCTCTGCCTCCTCCTTCCTCGAGAGAGGTGTTCCTCACCCTGGGGAAGCACCTGGGAAGGGGATAGTTGTGGGAGCAAGGTGGAGGAGAGAAGGGAAGAGAGGAATTCCGTGTTGAGGCTGCACGTGTGCCCTGCCTGCAGCAGGTTTCCAGGTCGCTTTTAGTGTTCAGTTCTGTGCTTTTCAGGGTGTTTTTGCTTTTCAGATTCAAGCAGTGAAGCAGAGTCAGAGATTTGGTTAAAGCTGTGAGTGACTCTGGTGGTTTTATTGCAGTTGTTGTTTCAGCCTCTCTGGGTGTGAGGTGTGAAGTTTATTTTACCTGTGAATTTTTAACAGGTGGATAATTAAGATCTAAGTGTTTTTCTGGGGAACTATTTTAGAAAAAAAAGGTGGTGTTGGGGCTTAAAAGTTTCCCTCAGTTCTGAGCTCCTGTGAGTTCTGGCTCTGCTCTGAGCTGCCATGGCAGCACTGGTGGTTCTGCTGCTGTACCAAACTCCTGGGGGTTGTTATCCCTGACGGGGTCTGTCCTGAGTGTTGGGGATCCCTCAGTTTAGGGGCTGTCATGGTCACGTGCCATGTTCGTGCCTGCTGGAGATCCTGCTGTTTCTGGATAACTCTTTGAGATTACCATTTAAAAGCAACCATAATTTAAACAGCAAATACACCTGTAACAGTTGGGTGGGCAGGCGATTCACCTTTTTCATCACACTGGTAAACATTTGGATGAACCTCTGTGTAATCAAAGCTACTCTCCTATGTAGGTAAAACAAAGGTTTGTGCAGGTCTGGTTTTACTGACTAGGTCCTTTTTGCTGATCTTTAATATCTGAGCTCATAACAGCCCAAGTTCTTTCTGTTAAGATGAACGGAAAAGCACAACAACTTCTGTGGGGCTGAGTTCGAGTTGCAGTAACTGCAGTGGCAGCTGCTGGTCCCTCCCTCTCGGTGCCTTGTTCCTGCTCAAGAGCACGTTGCAATTACAGCCAGGATAAATCGTGTTCATTAATGTTTTTTTATATTCAAATCTGGCCATAAATCTGAGAGCAGAGCAGGACAGCAGGGAGAAGCTGTAGTTTGTCTTACTGTAGATGAATTTAAGCTTCTCTCACGATGTAATCAGCTCCGTGTGTGTTTTAGGATTGCCATAAATCTCTCTAATCAGAAATTTTGTATCTCCCGGTAGCTTGTCTCTTTGAAATATTAAAAAGTTGATCCTTGTTCTCTTACCTTGCTAGATTAATCAGATTTAAGAAAAAGAAATAATCTTCTTCTTAAGCTGAGCAGGAAGAATGAGAGGGAGATCTTGAAGATAATAAAAAAATCCAGGAGAGAATATTCTTAATCAAATTGATACGAATTAATAAAGCTGCAACTAAAGTATCATGTTTGAAGATCTGTTTTCAATGGTTTCAAAAGAGGCTGTAGATTAGAAGTGAACAGTTTAGTTATATCACAAGAGATATCGCTGCCAGATACTTAAACCTTCTACAAGGCTGTTACATGAAAACCCTGTTGGGTTTGTGGGGCTGTGCAGATGGAAAGTGGCTGCTGAAGGCTCTGAATGAGATCACACTTACTGTGCTTTGCCTTGGAGACTGGAAGTCAGGTCTGTGGCAGGGTGAGTTTGTTTTCCATATCACGTGGTTGTAAGCCTTTGATGTCCCCTGAGTCCCGTTCAGCTCGAGCAAGAGGGTGGGGGGCGATCAAGTAGAACCCAAGTGTTAGAAAGATGTGAATTAGCAGAAATTTCCCCTCTTTAAAATAGGGGGGGTTAGTGTTCAGTTACTTAAAAATGACTTCACAGCTTGCCCTGAAAGAATTCCACACACCTGTGGCTGTGAGAAATGCAAATACCAAATGAAGACTTATGTTGCTTTAGAGGATTTCATTTTGGCCTTTTAAGACAAGGATAAGTTCAGTCAGTTCACACCTCAAAACATGCCATTCCTGTTTTAACTTTGCTTTATGCCAGGCTGTTCAAGAGCACGCTTCATTCCACCTTTGTGGGATGTTCCAGCCACAATTTCTCTGGAAATCATGGGGCTTTTCCTTGCTGAGCTCGTGTCTCTTCCGTGCTATTGGGGTTTAATCCGGTGCCTTATGTGTGTGGCTGGAGGTGTTGCCTTGAAAGGGAGAGGGAGTGAGAAGGGAGAGGGACAGGAGAATCAGTGCTAATTGCCTTTTGACCAAACTAACAACAACAAAAAAAACCAAACAAACCACAAACCCAACAACAACAAAACCCCAGACAAAACAAACAAACCCAAAATTACGGTGAGGAAGCAAAATCGACCGTGGTCGCTGATCCACCTTGTTGAAGAATCCAGTGCTGGGGTAGCCCAGGAACACAGGTGGCTCAGGGGGGTTTAGGGTGATGAGAAGTTCACGTGGCATTTCCCATCTGCACTGCGACCCGAGCTCCACATTCTTGGGGCAGTAGAAAGAGAGCCCAGGAAGAGGCGAAGCCTTAGAGGGACGAAGGCAATGTCTGGGTTTCTGGACTTTATTTAGCTCTTCAGATCTATCCACAGGCAGGCTTGGAGCAGGAGTTGAAGACTTCAGGGCTTTGAGCATCTCAGAGCTTCTGATGGTCATGAGGAAAGGAAAGATGTCAAGACCCAATGTGGAGGCTTGGCTGGGGGATCTGAAAGGATCTCTCCTTCCTTCTTGTGGAGCAATCAGTGTGCTCCTGACAGTAAAAGGAGTTGCTGTCTGGAACAATACGAGATGTGGAAACTTCTGTTTTCAGCAGAAATTAACAACTCTGCCATAACTTATCGTAACATTTTCTGGTTGTGCTGGTTCACGAACAGCTTTTTAAAAGAAGGGCTATTTAATAGTGAAAGGTGCAGCTCCAAGTGATTGTGTGGGTGCTTGCTGCTATCTTTTTCTTCTACCGCCACTGGAGAAAAAAAAAATAAAAATACTTTTTTGAGTCTGTGCATTCACAACTGCTGGTTATTGGTACTGAAACCTTTGTCCTGACTGCACCCCCAGGCTAAGGAGTGCAATGGAGTCAAGGTTCCCATCGACACCAGCAAGCCCAACCCCAACGAGGTGGAGTTCGATAACCTCTACCTGGACATGAACGGCATCATCCACCCTTGCACGCATCCAGAAGACAAGTAAGGCACTCCTCTGTCTCTTTACAGTTAGCTTGTCTCTTCAGTGACAGCATTCCAGTCATTGAACTGCATGCCCTGTGTTTCAGGCCAGCACCCAAAAACGAAGATGAAATGATGGTGGCGATTTTCGAGTACATCGACAGGATCTTCAACATCGTGAGGCCGAGGAGGCTCCTCTACATGGCCATAGATGGAGTGGTGAGTACTGACACATCTCCTTTCCAGCTGTGAGATCAGGGTAGGTGCCGTCAGGTCTCGTGAGATCCTTCGGGAAATGGTGTTCTGAAATGAAAAGCTGTAGGTAAAACAGACTGTTAACTGAATTTTGGTGAGGGTAATCAGTAGTACCCCTGGGGTTTGTTATCCTGTAGGAGCTGGCTGATGGAGTCTGCTGCAGCCTGAGCTTTGCTGGAAACTTGTAAAAGACAGTAACACTCCAAGACTACTTCTGCTCCTCCGTTCTGTGGCTTTAGGAATAATTTACACCACAGGCTGGAACGGACCAGAGCAGCTGGTTTGAGCAGCTGCACTTCAGATGGGCAGTGATGGAGTTGTGGTGTGGAATATTTCACAGCCTTCAGGGACCTTTGAGGCTGGAAGCTTGTCTTTCTCCCCACCTGATCCTCATCTCCCCTCGGTACCTAGAGTCGTGGAATGGTTTGGGTTGGAAAGGACCTTCAAGCCCTTCTGATTCCTTTTTTTTAGGCCCCACGTGCCAAGATGAACCAACAGCGGTCAAGGAGATTCAGAGCGTCGAAGGAGGGCATGGAGGCTGCTGAAGAGAAGCAGAAAATAAGACAAGAAATTCTGGCCAAAGGTGAACCAGTGACTGTATTGGAGGTTTTCTGATGAGAATCACCTTGTTTTGAAAGATTCAGTAAGGTTTAGAGAAGGGATGTCTCTGCACTGCTGGGAGGAGGAGGGGATAACAAGCCTACAGAAGGCTGGATCAGTGTTCTCCAAAGTTAAGAACTAAGATAAAACAAAATGTCACTTTTTTTTCTTCTTCTGTCTCCTGCCTGAAATGAATTTGTGTTGAGTGCTCTTAATTCCTTTTGAAAATAAATTGAACAGAAGAGCAGGGATAAATGTAGTGAGGAAGCAACCAAAACCCTTGTGGAAGGAAGTACACATTTGTAGGGCTCGATGCAAGGAGTGTTGAGGCTTAATAGCAGGGATCAGATGGAAATACTCCTACACAGGGATAATGAGCTGCGAGCAAGGGTAGTTACTTGACAGTGGAAACTCTAAATTCAGTGAGGAAACAAAAGTCAGAGCAACTTTCTGAGGGTGATGGTGACATGGCTGGAGTGAAAGGGGAATGTGTAGCAGTGTTTGCTGAAGTCACGTTTGTAGATGTACTGACACCTCAGTCTTGGAGATGATATAATGGTACGAGCTGGTTTAATTTTGGTTTGTGGGTGGTTTTGGTTTTTCAGTGAGTTAATTGTTACCTGGGGAGCCATGTGGGGTTTTATCATGCAGAAATGTTTTAAATGGTCCATGCTGATCTGACTCTGCTCCCTGTTTCTGCTGCTCCAGGTGGCTTTCTCCCTCCAGAGGAAGTGAAGGAGAGATTTGACAGCAACTGCATTACCCCGGTGAGTGACCTGGCACTTCACCCAGCAATTGCCAGTGTCTGAGTGAAGGTTTCATTTATTTCCTTCCCACCCCTTCCAGGGGACGGAGTTCATGGACAATCTGGCGAAATGCCTGCGCTATTACATCGCCGACCGCCTCAACAGCGACCCAGGCTGGAAGAACCTCACCGTGAGTTCCCAGCTTCCTACTTGAGAGAAATGAAGGAGGTGTTTGGGCTGGGCTGGGATCTGATTGAAGAGCAGAAATTTAACAGATTTATCTCTTGGCCTGGCTCTGTGCTTTTATTAATAATGGGCCGACTAGCACGTCCTGCTGTGGCTTCAGAGACCATTTTGTCCTGATAACTCCATCCCCCAGCACCATTTGCTTTGATTTCACTGAAGAGCAAAGAGGAGGTTTGCCAGTAGAAGCCACAATTTGACATAATGGGAGACAGGGCTTTAGGAATACTTTTGCTTCTTTTGGGGGAAGCGTCAAGATACATTGTAGATGTCATTTTTGCACTGTTTCTTTTTTCTAATTGCTCCCTCAGTGGGCTGCATTTTCTCTGTCGCTCTAATGATGGATGGCAGGCAATGAAAATAATACATGTCAGCTTGCTTGCCTTTCTGGACTTGGAAATTCTCTCTTCCTCTCCTCAAGCACTCCACTCCCACCTAGTTCTGTTTCTGACAGTCCTGTGTTTGCTCTGTATGAGGGGGCAGAGGATTCAGTTAATGCAGCTGCCTGTGCTATTTGCCATGAGTTGGCTGTTCAAGTGGCCTAATTAGAAGGCAGTTGGCTCTGCTTGATTCCCTCCATCAGACCTGGGTTTTTATAAATGCTAATGCTTTATTAAGCTAGTGCTTAATAAATGCTTGTGCTAAGAATTGACGCCAGGGTGAGGAGGGGTCTGCTGTGATCATGTTTCAGGGCATCGATGAGTTGGGAAGATCCAAAGGGAAGCAGACACGTGTGTGCTTAATCCGTGAGTCCTCTAGTGCCTGTTTCATTGCCCTGGCAATTTATCAGGAAACAAAAATATGGCCTGATCACTTCAGTGGGGTTTGAATCAGTATGTCACCTTCATCCTGGAATTGGAGGGGAAAAATGAATGTCTGTTCATTGGTTCCAGGCTCTTAAATAATTTCATTTTGAAATAGTTGAAACTGCAGATTAGAATTTCAAGTGTTCATAAGTCAGGTTCTGTATTCAGTGTATGAACTGCATAAGTTGTTGATTTTTACTGTGGCAGCATTAATTATTGACACAATTGGAATGTGTTGCAGGTTATTTTGTCGGATGCCAGTGCTCCTGGTGAAGGGGAACATAAAATCATGGATTACATTAGGAGACAGAGAGGTAAAATTCAAATAAATGTGGACCTTTTGTTTTAAATTAAGGTATGGCCAATAATATTTTATTTTACATGACTTTGACTAAATGTAATTTTCTTTTGTACAGCTCAACCAAATCATGACCCAAACACTCACCACTGTCTGTGTGGGGCTGATGGTGAGTTCTCTCTTGCTAGAAATGTGTCCTGTTAAGCTTTCTTGTGCTGTTCTGGGATTGAATTGGACTGTGTCTCACTTGGGAATGTGTAAATAATCCGGTGGATTTGTCAGTTTTGGAAAGCTGTGTGTAATGGATGGGGAAGGGTCCAACCCTGCCCACAGCTCCCTGGGGTTGTCCTGAGGGGGTGGTTTGTGGGTAAAGCACATTGGTGTGTTCACACTTGCTGAAAGCAGAATCTACTTTGCTTCTGAAGTTGTATTTTTTTTTTCTTTTAAAGCTTAATACTGTTTATCTCTCATCATATTTTACTCTTTTCTTGATTGGTAGCTGATCTGATTATGCTTGGCTTAGCTACACACGAACCAAACTTCACTATAATTAGGGAGGAGTTCAAACCAAATAAACCCAAGCCGTGTGCTCTCTGTAACCAGATGGGTCATGAGGTTAAGGATTGCCAAGGTTTGCCCAGAGAAAAACAAGGAAAGGTAAGAATTTTGCTATTTCTAGTTTGTTTTTTTTTTTATCTACAAACTCGTGTATAATGAGATCCTCAAATAGTTCTTGCTGTTGGTTTTGGCTGAAGCATGAATGCAAGTTGTTGTTGAAAATACCTGGCTGTCCTCTCAGAGGTGAAAGTTGTACTTGTGCAGTACAAGATTATTATGCCAAAGCTGAGATCTTCACTTGTGGTATTTTGGGTTTGGGGTTTTTTTATCGCTGGTGAGAACAAATGATCAGTAACTTCACAGACAGGCAAAGCAGCAAAATGCATGCTCGGCACGAGGGCTTGGGAGCCTGTTCTTGTAGCCTTCTTAACTCCTTGGAAATGGAGCTGGAGAAGCTCTAAGGAGAGCTGGGGTGTGACGTGGCTCTCCTTTGGTTTCAGCACGACCAGTTTGCCGACACCCTTCCCGTGGCGGAGCAGGAGTTCATCTTCATCCGCCTGTGTGTCCTGAGGGAGGTGAGGTGGAGCAGTTACTCCAGCTGCTTTGTGTAACTAACATTTTAAACTCCATGCAGCCTTTCCCAATGTCCTTTTCCACGTGTTGCAGTATTTGGAGAGAGAACTCACTATGGCCAGCCTGCCTTTCACGTTTGATTTCGAAAGAAGTGTCGATGACTGGGTCTTCATGTGCTTCTTCGTGGGAAATGACTTTCTGCCTCACCTGCCATCTCTGGAGATCAGGTAGATGAGGACACGTTTTCTTTTCCTGCAGGAATACTCCCCGTGTTTCTCGATAACAGGAGTTATTTAACACTTTGGTTTGTGTTTAGGGAGGGAGCAATCGATCGCTTGGTGAACATCTATAAAAACGTGGTGCACAAAACCGGGGTGAGAGCTTTTCCTTTGAAAACATCTGGGGGTTTGCTGCAGAACAGGCTTGTTTTTCACCTCTGCTGTTCTCTAACCTGCAGGGGTACCTCACAGAGAGCGGGTTTGTCAACCTGCAGCGGGTCCAGATGATCATGCTGGCGGTGGGAGAAGTCGAGGACAGTATCTTCAAAAAGAGAAAAGACGACGATGTAATTTTTTTTGTTGTTGTTACATCCTTGGAGTTTGGTTTTAATCATGTGCCTTACTGTTAGCCCGGGACCCTCCCTTAAGAGAATAAGGAAAAAAAAAAAAGACAAATTTTGTGGTTTGTTATTCTATGATTCTCAGTAATTTTTGACTGGAAAGAAGGCACTTGGAGTTGAAATCACTGTGCCAGTGTTGGCAAAATGTTTGGCATATTGTTGCCCCAGCCTGCACCTCTCTTGGAAGTGGAAATGCCAATTTGATGTTCAGCTCTCAGGCCTGAGAATCGTAGAATAAGAAATATCTTTCCTTGAGTCTCTTCTTTTTCTGTTTCTAGGACGTTAATGTCTCTCCTACGTTTTTTTGGCAGCTCTCCAGTCTGGGCACCAAGCTTGTGTCCTTTGGCACTGCTGGCAGCCTGAACTGAGGCTACAGCTAAACTCAGTACATCATTTAAGCCACTACCAAAACTGTGGGGCTTTGAATACCTAGTTACTTTTTTTCTCCCCCATAGATTTTCAGGGTAGAGTAGAAAATTCCATCCCCTTTCTGTTGGATTTACAGACGGAAGAATTGTCCCACGTCTTATTCAGAACATTCCCTAAAAACCTCACGGTTTGGTCGGTTGAGGATTGCAATGAAATAATTTCCCAAGAAATCTGTATGTTTGACTGACTTTATTTCCCTTTATTCTTCATCTAGGATAACTTTAAAAGACGACAGAAAGAAAAAAGGAAAAGATTGAAGGTAAGCGAATTCCTTACCCAATGCAAAAACTAGCAAGAATTAAAATAGACACTTCTGGTTTTGGCAGGTGTGGTGGTTGGAACTGCAGGTGTTTCCTGGCCTGTGTGTAAGCCATCTGAAAGTTAAAAAATTTAAAATTCTGTTATTGGGGCGAATTTTCTTATATTCCCAGGATATTGTGATATTTTAAAAACGGGCCTTGTACTTTCATTTCCACGTAGCTCTGTTCTTGGATGGGCATTCCAAGGAAGTGGAGCTTCCAAAACTGTCAGGGCATGTGTTTTCCCTGAGTGCTCTCCAGACCTTGTGTTCATTTTTTAAATGAGGATTTTTTTCTGACTGTCCCTATTAAGTGTGGCAGAGGTTTTTCACTGTTGTTACAAGGAATGTGTTACTCCCAGGAAGTTAGACCAGGCCCCCAAAAAACTGCCTTTTGGCCCACGTGGAAAGAACACAGGCACCAAATGCAGGGGGGTTTTGGCAGTTTTGTGAAAGAGCTTAATAAATTATAACTCAGAAGCGTTGTGCCTGGTGAAGATCATTAAACAGGGCTCGTCTGTATTTATCTTTCAGAGGGATCAGCCTGCTTTCATTCCTGGTGGGCAGTTCTCCCCTCAAGCCCTGGGCAATCGATCCAGCCCTCAGGCAATCTGTAACCCCAGGCAAGCCGCCTTTGAGATGAGGATGCACGAGAGGCACAACTCTGTAAGTAGATGTTCAGAGGTGTTGGCACAGAGAAGGGAAATAATCACCTCCCGTGGTACTCTGGACATCTTTTTTTCTCTACCCCATTGAGCTTTCTTGAAAAGCAGGCACCAAAAACGTTCTTTTTCGAGAAAGTGGCTTTTAATAACCAGTTTTTGTGGAAAGGAGAAACTTTGGATGAAATCTTGGGAAAGGCGTTAGTGAGGGAAAACTGGAAGTAAGTTGAGTGCTCTGTTAGAAGTCTTGATTGTTACCTTGAAATAACAATTATGACAGATATTTTCTTTTTGGGTATAAATCTTCGTCCAAACAGTGAAAAAAATTAAAGGCCCTTTTCATCGTAGAGGTGTGGGTTCTGTCTCTGAAGTCTAAATACAATATGCTTTTTCAAAGTATAATTTCTGCCGTTCTTCCCTTTTAATCTTGAAACTTCTGCACCTGAGTTAAGCACATTAGTTCCTTTGTGGAACAGGAGGCGTTTCTTTTTGACTCCGTAATATTAAAATGGATAAATTTGAGAGGAGTTTAAAAGACCAGCTGTGAAGAAACGCAGCATTTCTGACAGTTCTGAATTAGAAGCACTGGTTTTTTTTGTGTGTGTGTTTTTCACTGGTGCTGCAAAATGAAGCTGTAACAGAAGCTGCAGGACTAGAGCAAACAGGGGTGTTCCAAAATTGGAATATATCCAGAATGGCATGCTTTACCAGTTTCTGCTGTCTTGTTTATTGCATCCTTTTCTTTCTCCAATCCAATGACATTTCTGCCTGTATGAAATCAACGCCTGCCTTTTTAATAGAGGTGTGTTCTTCTTTCCATTTGCTCCTTGGCTTAGCGGGTTCAGGGTTGTGCAGCCTTTGCCTGGAGTTTTTCTGGAACTGAAAATAACACGTGTGATTATTGCAGAGCTGTTAATTGTAACTTGAATTTAAAATGCCTAATAAATCCTCCTCTCCCCCCCTTCCCCCTATTTATCTGTAATAACTCTGATCCCAGACAACTTCAGCATCTCCAAATACCAGCCTGACTCCTGATGGCAGCCCGGCCCTGGGAGGAGGAGGAATTAAGCGGAAAGCTGAGGACAGTGACAGTGAACCTGAGCCAGAGGATAATATCAGGTGAAGCCATTTTTTTGTAGCACTTTGTTAGCAAATTGCTGAAATAGATGCAGCCTAATTAATGCCATTTAGCTCAGTGCAGCAGTGCCTTCGGATGCTTCGCTATGATCTCTTTATCCACCGGTAATTAATGTGGAGGGCTGGAATATCCAGCAAATTCCAGGGAGATGGGTGAGCTGTGGCTGTTCACTCTGAGTGCCCAGATTAGTATGCGTGCAGGTTTGCAGCCTCCCAGCCACGCTCCCTCTGAGACCCAGCGCTAGATTGGCGAGACATTCCCTGCTCAGCCCTGATTATGTGAGTGGAATGCGCCATTCCAGGCTGGAATTCTCCACCTGTTTAACCCATCCACTATTCCACACCGGAATTCTCCAGCTGTTTACCCCTCCACAGTTCCAGGCTGGAATTCTCCAGCTGTTTAACCCCTCCGCCGTCCCAGGCTGGAATTCTCAGCTGTTTAATCAGTTACCTTCATGTGGGCAGCTTTCATTTTTCCTCCCTCTCTGATTTGTGGCAGGCCCTGTTTTGTCTGGGAGTTCTTTTAATTGTCTTAGGGCAGCTGATCCTTGGATTATTAAGGGACGGGAATTTTATGAGAATTAACTGCCAGTGAGTCTGCATTGATCAAAGGTTTAAATCAAGCTATTGCCATCAACTGCAGGCCTTTGCAGTGGTTTGTTGAGGGGTCTGCCCTTTAAATGCAGCCAGGAGGGGGTTTTGTGTGCACTCAAGTGGACGTGGGAAAACACTGAGGATTGTTGTCACCACATACTTGTGACATCCAGCCCATCAGCTCTTCCAGTATCTCATATTCCAGCTCTCATTCTCATTTTTTGTCCTGTAAGTGTGTATCTAAATGAATTGATTTGTTTTTGTTTTTTATAATCAAGCAAGCAGAATTCCTGTGTAGAATCAGGATCAATGTTAGTGTTCCTTTCCCTTGGAGCTTTAGCAGAGGCTCTAAAAGAAGCTTTAACAGTTTTACAGTGACCAGTGTGAACGAACTGTGGTGATTTGTGAGCAGCAGCAGTTCTGACAGGGTTGGTATTGCCAAGGAAAAGGATGTGCTACGTTCAACTGCAGTTATTTAAACTCTCCTGTAGCTCAGAATATCTAAATATTTAAAGTGGTCTCAGCCTTTGTGGAAAGGCTGATTTTTCAGATGGGATATTCAACGCCAAGCTGGAATTGTTGGGCATAAACTTCTCTTTAAAAAAATAAATCATTACTGAGGGATTATCAGATTTAAGCAGTTTGGTTGGTTTTTTTTTTCCTGACGTGATACAGCAGAGCTGAGGGATTCAGGTGCTCATGTGTGAAAGAGGAGCAAGTTTTTGTTTTGCACAGACATGAGGGGGAGCTGTGTGAAGGGAGGAGAGAGGGTGGCCGGGATGGCTCCTTTGATTCCAGGATCCATCTCTGGGATGAGGGATTGAAAATCCCCTGGGAAAGGGAGCTACTGTGGTGTGAGTGAGCAAACCCAGGATTCCTGGGCTGCAGAAAGTGCTGCTGGTAATCACAGCTTGTCTGAACAGCAACAGGACAGTAGAAATTACTATTTGCTTTCTTGCTTTTTATTTTGAGGAGCGGGAAAACTCTGCCACTTTTCTGCTTGAGAGAGGCATTAAGAATAAAGGAATGAACTTGATGTGAGAAGATACTCCAGTAAGATAAAGATTTTGGCCTAGGGTAGATTAAAGGAAATAAGAGAGGGAAGAGTTTTTTCTCCTGAAAGAGTAAAAGCACAAAGTTCAAATGGTGAGAAATACAGAATTGCTGACCAGAAACAATTCTGTTCTGAGAAATCCTGACAGCAACAGGCCTACGTTTGAAAATCCACCCTGCTTCTAGCACTGGAACTGTGTTTATCAGGGTGGGAGCTTCAGGATCTCATCTGGATTTTCTGGGGTGCCAACCATCACACCTTATTCTCTTGCTGCTGAGTATCAGTGTTTCCGCTTTCCTTTAAACTGTCTGCAAATAGAAGCTGAAGTAGCCAGTGACTAGGGGTGACACTGTAATTCAGACCTGTAAGGTGCCCCTGGTGAGATGTATCGATGGCTGTGTTGCAGGTTGTGGGAAACTGGCTGGAAGCAGCGCTACTACAAGAACAAATTCGACGTGGATGCCTCCGACGAGAAATTCCGGCGCAAGGTCGTGCAGTCCTACGTGGAAGGGCTTTGCTGGGTTCTCAGATATTACTATCAGGTACCTCAGACTTTCATCTCTGAATTTTCCTTTGTGCCTGCACCCTGTTTTGTTTTGGCCTGTTGCTCGTGGAAAAGCAGTGGAGTTTTTCAAGATGTGCAATAAACGCTTGGTACTCAGGGTTTGAGTGCAGTTTCACCACCCCTGGAGGCACTCAAGAAGCAACTGGACCTGGCACTCAGTGCTCTGGTCTAGTTGACAAGGTGGTGATGGGTCACAGGTTGGACTCCATGACCTTGGAGGTCTTTTCCAACCTCAGCGATTCCCTGGTTCTGCTTCTCATGTGCAGTAAAGACTCGTTGGTGTAGTAAGGACCGATGCCGTTTTCCCTCTGCAATACAAAGCCATGAATAATGACATTGCAGGTGACTAAAGGAGGGAACAAAGGACAGAGCCTGTGAAATGCCAGTAAGAATTGGAAAGGACCAGAGTTGTCAGTCTCCTGGTGGATTGTAATGATGTTCTATGAAATGTGTTGTGATTGAAGTAATCTGTACCCGATTTAAATCTTTTGATAATTGAGATGTCAGATTGGTGAGAGATTAGTGGGAGTTGTGGGGTTTGTTGCACTGGTGGTTAATGAGGAGCTCTGTGCCCTGAAGGCAGAGTAAGTTGGCTGTGCTGTGTGACCTGGGAGCCCAATGTGCTGCAGCTGATGGGGTTTATCTGCCTCTGCAGGAATTGGGGGGTTTGACACAGTGCTGGGTTGATGGAACTGCACGTTTTCTGGGGGTGTCCAGCTGGGAGCTCACACCTGTCCAGCTGGGACAACACCTCACACTGTGCACCTTAAAATGGGTTTTTTTCATCCCCCCCATGGAACAAACTGTGGGAGTGTGTTCCCCTCCCTCCCACTGCATCCGTTGGTTGAGTTTGGGCTCTGGCTCATTAGTTGTGGTAGATTAAAATCATGGAGTTTAAGGTCTGCTGAGCTCTCCACCTCCTTGTGTGTGTGACCTGAGACCTCCTTTTGCAAAGGACAGATGTCACCTGGACACCTTTATGGGTGGGAATTCCTGTGATCCTGCACACACTGAAGGCAAACCATGTTCTTGTTAACCATGGCAAGATATATCCTACAAATCTATTCATGCCCATCTGTCTCCAGGGGTATAAATGACTCTTCAGGTGAGCTGTAGAAATGTCCTTGCTGGGAAACTGCCTCACCTTCAGTGATACAACGGCACAGAACCATTCCAGTCTGTTGCATTTGGGATGGAGCAGCTGGCAAAATGCTGCCTGCTTGTGTGGAGATTAGATTAGGAAGTGGTTGGGGCTGGGGGGACTTCAGAATGGTTGGTTTGTTTTATTTTTTTTCTTTGTACCATAATAAAAATTGATTCTAATAACTGCTGCTCACTGTCCACGAAACTCGTGACAGGATGTGTTACCTGCCTTTCTGTTCTTACAAAAAGCTAATAATGCAGGGCATGTTCCACTAGTGGGAACATCTGTTTGGAGAGGGGGAAAAAAAAAAAAGAAGGAAAAGAAAGAAAGCAATCCACCTGGCTTTTGAAACCTTCCGAAGCCATCTGAAGGATTGCATTGAATAATTATAGTCGCTGTAATTTTGTACCAAAAATATCACTGGAGGAGCCTCGTTGACATTTACTTGTTCAGAATTGGAAGTCAAAACAGTAGTGGGCTTTTGTTTCAAGTGGTGCTGCTAAGAAAAATAGCTGAGGAGGTGAAAACTTGACTTGGACCTCCCTGAGCCGCGTTTCCTTTACCAAGTGCAGGGTGTTCTGGCGCGTTTTGAGTTTGTTTTCTCCTTTTTGAGGACGCACTTTATATTCCCCAGTGTTCGAGCCAGGAGAGCGAGAGGGAAGGAGCAAAGTGCTGCTCCAAGTGTGTGTTAGTGCTGGTGCTGGAGAGAAAAGTAACAGCTGAAGCCAGAGTGGTTTCCAGCCCGCAGCAAGCACTGTTCACATTTTCACACCTTGTAGGGCATATTATGGGGTCTCTGGCCCCACACCTTCCCCAGTTAGCAGTGGGATTTTGCTTTGAGAAACAGGAGTGCAAACTGTGTGCTGCCAGAAAAATGCTCCTTTCTGCCATGTTTTTCACCTCTGGTGACCGGGCTGCGTGATTTTTGATTTTGTTAATTTTTCTGACGTGCCTGATTTTATTTATCTTGCTTCTCCACCTTAGGGCTGTGCATCCTGGAACTGGTATTACCCTTTTCACTACGCTCCCTTTGCTTCTGACTTCGAGGGGATTGCAGACATGCCTTCAGATTTTGAGAAAGGCTCCAAACCGGTAGGGCTCCTTTATTTATTCGTCGAGTTCGTTATTTATTTATTTAATCGTTTGTGATTTAACACCTCATTAGGAGTGTCCTACATCTGGCTTGTCTGATTTCAACAGTTTAAGCCCCTCGAACAACTGATGGGAGTGTTTCCAGCTGCAAGTGGGAACTTCCTGCCGCCGACGTGGAGGAAGCTGATGACAGACCCGGTGAGAATCCTTGTTGTGTCCGCTCTGTAAGGCTGGGTCACCTTGTAGGGGTGTGAACACCACCTCCTGCTGCTTCTTGCTTCAGGAACAAAAATGCCGGAGCCCAGGAGGTTTGTAGTAGGTTGCAAGGATTCTTCTTCTTCTTCAAAAAAAATAAATCCTTAAAAGCGGTTTCTTGGAATTCAGGTGTTTGGGTGAGAACTCGTTTCCTGCCTCTCTTACACTTCAGGTTGTTTAGGTCCTTACAGCAGCCTTGCAAAGCTTAATCCAGCAGATCACCTGCAAATTTTCTCTCCTGCTTAATTTCTTGGTTTGAATCTCTGAGTAATGGACGTGCCCAACCACACTTGATGCTTAAATGGCATTTATTAAAAGGTATTTTTATTAGTGACAGATCCCTGCATCCCCCTTAGCGCTGTGTTTGGTGCCATGTGACACTCTGAACCCGTGTCAGAATTGGCTCTGAGGGTAATTTTGATTTTGTTTTCTCAATGACAGGAATCAAGCATCATTGACTTCTACCCTGAAGATTTTGCTATTGATTTAAATGGGAAGAAATACGCTTGGCAAGGTTGAAATTTCAACTTCTTTTTTTTCCTTTTTTTTTTTTTAAGAATCTGTAAAAATAGGAAGGAATTGGGAAATTATCTTAGTAAGTCACACAGGTACCTTGTGTTACTTGGTGTGGGGACAAGTGTTTTCCAGCAGGTGTATTTTTGAAAAGAAATCACTACGAAGAACAAATTATGGTTCAGTAACTGATTTTGGATTGGCAATGATTAGTAGTCTTTTCAGCAGCCATTCCAGATTTGTTAATTTTTCCTGAACTAGATTAATCATTCTTCTGTTTTTATCAGCCTCACTGTGTAATTGTCTTTTGTCTCCTTTGCATTTAATTAATGGATCTTGTTCTGCTCAATCAGTGGCTCATTAGTACTGTGCCAAAAATGCTTTGGGGAATATAGAAATATTTGGGAGCATACAAAGAATGAAAAAAGAGCTACAGCATTTATGCAGCTTTTTCTTTCCTTAGAGAATATTAATTTTCAGGGTCTGCCAAATTCTGTGGGTGGTTACACTGTGAGTAATTTCACTGCAGGTGAAGTTTTGGGTTGTCCTTTCCTTCAGTTCTAGGACAACAGTGTTTGTTTTAATGAAACCACATAAAGATCTGACTTCTGAAGCAAAAGTGTTTCAGGCAGACCAAGTTTTAAATTGGGAATTCACGGTGGGAGTTCAGAATCCCTGTGGATGAATTTGAAGAATTTTCCTAGTAAATTTCCCAGGGCTTTTTGATTTCTGTGGTGAAAGGAAACCCTTTCTTGACTGAGGAAATCTATCAGAGCTTTCCATCCTAGTCTGGCTTTTTTTTGGGGTTGTTTTGGGTTTTCTCAACAGGTGTGAAAAAACAGTGTTTTGGTTTTGCAGGTGTCGCGTTACTGCCCTTTGTGGACGAGCGACGCCTCAGAGCTGCCCTGGAGGAGGTGTACCCTGACCTCACTCCTGAAGAGAGTAAGAGTTGGGGTATTTTGTTAAAGAATTGGGACATTTTGTTGCCTCTTGGGTGCTGCACCCTAAGTGAACAAGGTGTAACAGGTGTTTGGTTGGGTTGAGTTATGGCAGACTCTTCTTCATGGGTTCTGCTGGTAATTAGAGTGATCCTGCTGGGTCTGTTTTTGTGGCTTGTAGAGGCAAACGGAGGTGTTTGTTTCTCCATTTTCTGGTGGGTGAGCTGTGGGAGGCATGTGGGACCTGGGGGATTTTGGGTTGGGTTTTTTACCCAGCGGGTCTGGATCTGCAGTGTTACTCTGTATTAGATTTCCTCCCACTGAACACGAGATTCCTGCTGTTTTACTGTCTGCCAGCTGCCCCTGTGACCAGAGCCATCCTGCTCTGGGCAGACTGTCCTTCCTACACTCTCCAAGAATGTTCAAAGCTTTCTCCCCAGTCACAGTGAAGCTTGGCTTTTGTGGAGGTGTCACCAGGACAGCGTTGCAGGTCTGCCGTGTTCCTTCCTTCCCTCTTTGCTCTGAACTCTTATCCCATTCCCTTCACCTTTCCAGGCAGAAGGAACAGCCTTGGTGGTGACGTTCTCTTTGTTGGGAAGCACCACCCGCTCTGTGACTTCATCGTGGAGCAGTACAAGACCAAAAACACAGAGGTGGGTTGTGCTTGTTCTCGAGGGCCTGTGGGAATGGGGAGGTTGAAGGTCTGATAAAGTGCTCCAGCTGAGCAGCTCTGCCCTCCCCAGGCAGTGGACATCCCCCCGGAGCTGTGCCACGGGATCCAGGGGAAGCTGAGCCTGAACGACAACGCCGTCCTCCCGGACCAGTGAGTGTGGCCTGGGCTGGGTTCTTGGTGCTCAGGGACCTTCCCTTCACGTAGAAGTATCTTCATGCCCACAAGAAACTTAAAGCTCCCAGCAAGGCCGTGTGTGTAGTCTCTGAGGCTCAGCACTCGTGGCCTGAGGGTTCAGAGCGGGCGTGTGTCACCTCCAGCACGTGGAAAATCCCAACCAAGGGAAAATTTCATCCCACAATCCTGCTTTTCTTAGCCTCGGAACTTGGCTTTTAGAGCAGCCTCAGAAATCTTTGAAGTGCCCTGATGTGTGTAGTTGCTGGTGAATCTGGTTTTGTCTGTGATTTCACCTATGGAAGGCTGATTTTTATGGATTTAGTAGTTGCTTTATTAGGTAAACAAGGCCTGGGTAGCAGAAGTCATAGTACTCAGGGGCCTTGTTCAGTAAGGTTGTGTTGGTTTGGCCTCTCTGCTTTTGTATGAATATGAATGTGGGCTGATGTGACTTCCCTTTAGTGCACATTGCCTAAAAAAACCCAAACTCTGCTTTTTATATGCTAACCTGCATTGCATTAGAGAAAAATCCAGATAGTGGTATCTAAGATACATTTTGCCTTTGTCCATTTGTCCTGTGGCACTGGATTCAGGACTGTTCCCAGCTACACATAGGAAGAATGCTCATATTTTTTTGTTTCCTAGAGAATGCATTTAGTCAGAGAAATGATCAGAGTAATCCTCACCTTTCATTTCTCTAACTGTGCTCGGAGACATAAGCAGGTGTTCAGTAGCTCGTTTGCATTAAATGCACAAACACTGGCTTTGTTGCACAGATAATGGATCCCAGGCCACACTAATGGGCATTTCTCCATTCTTGTCATGGCTGGTGAGGGACATGAGCAAGTCAGAGCTGTTCTTGGGAGGAACAGGAAAAAGAAAACTCTTGTGGCATTGAGAAATAAGGATCTGGTCAGTCCAGTCCTTATAGAAGTGCTGGATTTAGGGGAAAGGCAAGTTAATTTTCAAATCCCTGTTAGGTGTCACAGGCTGAGTTGACAGAGCACCAGGGGAAGAGCAGCAAGTGGTGAGAAATGTGTTACCTGATGTTTTGACAGAGGTTTTTCTCCTGCCCAGGGTGGTGGAGTCTCCTGTTCCGATGCTGCGGGATCTCACCCAAAACTCTGCAGTCAGGTCAGTGACCTCTGGGTTTAATGCAGTGGGGTACAACACACAGCAACCAAAACTCATTTTACTGTGGTGTTTTCTTGTTGGATTTGCAAGGCTCTGGCCTGTAACCTTTCACTTCTTGAGCCACATAAGGTACCTGAGACACTGAAAATCACCTGTGATCTGTCTGTGTAATTTTTTTCCTTCAAAGAGGCCTAACTTGGTTCAACTAGAACAGGCAGGAAGAAATGCTGAGTTGTGGCTTGTCAGGATGCTGTGGGAAGGATGTTCTAAATGGGGATGTAGTTACTGTGAGTAATGAGTTAAAGAAAGGTTTTGGCTTTCCATCTGCCACTGTCAGGGGCTCTGAGTTGTTCTGCACTTCTCTCCATCTCTCTGTCGCAAGGATTTTTCTTCCTGTCCCTGGAGATGGTATGAGCAGTCAGGGTTCTGCTCTTCAGCTCCTGTGACTGAGGCTGAATTTTCCAAGGGGCCATTATTCACTTTCCTTGGAGTCTCATTCATTCTTGGTGTCGAAAAGCAGATATATCTCAGCTGGAGGAGCGAGATTATTCTACTCAGCCATTTGCTTTTAGCTTTCTTGGCACCCCAGGCATTCTTCTGTGTCAGATGGTAGGTACTGAGAGAACAGGTTGGTGTCTTGTGCTTCAAACATGTCCCTGGTGGGACCTACCTGAGAGCTGGATACTACACCAGGAGATGGGAATTGCAAACCCAGTGCTCTGTAATGTGTTGTACCAGTAGAAATGAAGCTTTCAGACAGTTTTTGCTCTATTGCTACTTAGTTTGTCTAGTACTAGACAGCCCAAAGCTCAGGGTCTGTGAGGTGTCACTGAAAATAGGGATGCATCCCTCCACGGGAGCTGCTTGGAACTGCCTTTCAGGATAAAAATCCCTGCTCTGGGAAATCCCACTTGTAGCCAAGTGCCCCTGGTCCCCTGCCTGTGGGAGCCTTTGAGCTCCAGCAGGCACAACCAGTGCTTTGGCTGCTCGAGGGTCTGCAGAAGAGCCTTTCCTTCCCATACATGGGTCTGACTGGTTTCTGGGCATGGAACTTCCTTTCTGGAACAGGGGAGAAAAAAAGGAAAATAATGGAGACATCCCAGTCCAACATATCCATATGCAGGAAATTCCCTCTGCAGTTTAAGTCGTGGGTTCATGGCTCTTTCCTGTTGTGTGCATCACTGTTAATAAAGCAGTGGTTGCTTTTCACTTTGGCTTCATTATGAAGTGAACCTAATCCTCAAATATTTTCTCCTAGCATCTCCTTCAAAGATCCACAGTTTGCTGAAGACTTTGTTTTCAAGGCTACGGTGTTACCTGGGGCAAAGTAAGTGTCAGCTCTCGGCTTTCACACAATCCCAGTGTGATTTATTCATCCGAGTGCTGGCTCTGATAAATATTTATGGCACTGTTTTTATTCCTAAGGAAACCTGCTCCGGTGCTGAAGCCAGGAGACTGGGAAAAAACCAACAATGATGGCAGGCCTTGGAGGCCACAGCTGGGCTTCAACCGAGACAGGAAACCAGTGCACTTGGACCAGTCAGCCTTCAGAACCTTGGGGTGAGTCTGCTGGGGGGACTGGCCGCCCTGCTGGGGTGGCAACCCTTCTGTTCTGCTTCTTGAATTAATAAAAAACAAACAAAGAGGGTGGGCATGGACTGTCTTGGATGTTGGTGTTCCAAACTTTGGTGTCCGATATTTAAAATCAATATTCTGCAAACAGATCGTTACAGTGATTTTGCAGTGATGTCTTGTTTGCTTCTGGATGTTATTTTTTTCCTCCTAAATGTTTCTGACTCGCTTTCCTGCTGTTTTGGCTTTTTTAAAACTCGTTTGGTGGATACTTGCTTGAAGTACAGAAGGTACAATGGGAATATTGCACACAAGTGATAATTAAGACTGTTAGTGAAGACAGGAGTGTCTTTTATGCTTTTAGAAATGAAAAAGCTGTAAAAACCTGGTGCTGCACCATACAATCTGTTTGATTGTCCCTTTGCCAGGCACTGCCACAGTCAGTTTTTGTTAGTTGTCCAGAAATCCAAGTGACTTCTGCAGGTGCTGCAGTGTAGTGTGAGAAAGGGAGAACAAGCTGGGGTTGTGTATCACATAAAAATTAAAGTTAAGTGCTTTTCCACACTGGGGAGTGCAAGGAGCCATGCATTTATCAGAGCCAGAGAAGATAATGTTTTAAAGGACACTAATTCTAGCAAATAAAATTGAAGTCTGAAGTGTCTCTTTAGGAAGAGAAAATACTTTTATTATCTTAGGGATCTGGAGGAACCGGAAAAAGAAAAGGCACCACCTTTCCCTGCACTCTTGTGCTGGGAAGCAGAGTTGTTCTGGGGCTGGACTTGTGAACCCTCTTCTGTCCTTCCTTGCCACAGTCACCAAGAAAAGTGCAGCTGTGTTATTGAAAATGTGAGCACTTCCCCAGGAGCAGCTCCCAGGGCCCGGGCGTGTGCCGGGATGTGCCTGGGCCCTGATCCACGAGCACATCCCTGCCTCGTGCTGGCACGCTGCAGAGGGCTGGGGCTGTGGATGGGCCAGGTGGCAGCTGTGCTGCAAGATGGAATTCACCACAACACCCTGATCTTTCTCCTCTCCTCTCCTCGCTCGGCGCAGGCACACGATGCTGAGGGACAGGGGGATGCCAGGGATGTATCCCAACGCCGTGCCGATCGGAGCCTACGGGAGCCCCTACGCCAGGCCCCTGCTGGGGGGGCAGCAGCAGATCCCCAAGCTGTTGTCAAGTAAGTGCTTGCTGCATTTCAGAGCTTGGGTTTGGGCTGCTCTGTGGCACCAGCACAAGCAATAAGTGGGTCCAGGCACCTGCCTTCATTAACCTCGTGTTGCTCCTCTCTGTTGCTCCTCCTTTATGGGATTGCTGTAGGGAAATGTGCTGAAATGGAGCAGAGTGCCTGCAAGTGGGATCCCAGTTGGAACACTATGCTCTGGATTAAAATGTAATAGCAAAAGTAGCACTGTAAAACCCACCCATACCAAGGGTTCCTGGTGCCTGTTACTTGGAACATATTCCATCTGTGGTGGAATCTCAGCATCACCAATAAATCCTATGTGACCCAAAATGGAGTTCTTCACCCCAGGAAGGAAGTGCTTGTGCTCTTGAAAAAGGGTCTTGGTCAGGAGTTCTGCCTCTTCACCTGTGCTCAGGTGGGATTGAGACAGGAGGACACTTGGTTCAACTGCCTAAGGAGGTGTGAAATCCTGCAGTATTGAATTCTGCAAGTGTTGGACATCTGAAGAGCTGACACAGATGAAGTTTGAGCTCCAGAGTTTTGTCCCATCTAGACTGGTTGCTGCCCAGTGAAGCTGTCACCCTCTCTGTATCTTGCTGGCATCTTTGCTGAATATCAGACAGCAAATAAATAGTATCAGTGGCCACTGACCGAAACTCAGTGTCCAGTCCCAGAGCAGAGGAAGGGAAGTTGAGTGGTGAGTGCTGATTTCTTGTGCAAGGAACCAGATTGGTTTAAGTAGAGAGGTGGATTGAATATGAGCCTGGAGGGATTAACTTGGGTTAAAGGAAAACCTTTTTTTTAAACAAACAAGAAACACGAGAAGGCAGAACCACCAGACAGGCATCACCTTTTCACATTCATCTTCCAAAATCAGAAAGTTTGTGTGGCTTTGGGGAGAAAGTTTTCAGGAGCCCAGCAGTCCCTGTACTGCTGTTCCTGTCAAATCTTGGCACTCTGTGGGAAAGCTGCTCTCTCTGTCTCCTGTCTCTGGAGCTGATCCTGCCAAGGAGGTGCTCACAGAGCTCTCATCCAGCCACCGCTGTCCGGAGCCAGTTCCTGGCACTGTGTTTCCGTGGGAGAGGGCAGTGCAGCATGCTGCAAATGTGTTCCTTGGCACTTCACTGGCTTGTGCTTCTCCTCCTCTTCTGACAACGCCGAGCTGTCCTAGGAGATTAGTCTTAAATTCTAATTAACTTCTAATTTACACTGACTGCGGCATGAAGTCTCAAGGACTAATTACGGCAGCGCTTGACTCTGGGTTTGGAGATGGTCTTCCTTTCAGTGCCTCATTGTTTAACAGAGCTGTGAGGGCAGCTCGTGTCCATCAGTAGGATGGATGCAGACAGCATGAGGGATGTTCTTGCTCCCTAGAAGGACTTCCCAAATCACATCCTGGAGCCTGGCTGGTGGGTCAGGCCCCAGTCCACCTGAGGAGTGAAGCACACTTGTCTCAACTGCTCTTCTACCAAGGAGAGACAATTCCTTAAACCCTTGTTAGAGGTCGCCTCCAGGTGTCATAGCCTGGCATTCCTGCTGGGATCAGCCTTTTGGGTGTTCACACTGAAGGATGTGTTTGGGAATGGACCCTACCCCAGCTGTGTGCGAACCACTGTCCGGTGTGGCACAGTTGGACTGGGAAGCGCCCAGAACCCACACATTCCTGAAAAACCGCAGCTGACATGGTTAAAACTCCCACATTTTGTGGGATCAACGCAGAGCAACTTTCCATTTGCTGTCTGGTGTGTCCCTGTGTAGGCTGCAGCACAATCAGCCCCCGAAGGGCGATGCAGTCGGGCCGAGTGCCACCTCTCCCTCGAGAGCCGGCTGGGGGTGTTCCTCGCCGGTGCTCCCTGATTTCACTCGGATGTGCCAATTTTCAGCTGATGAATAATTGTCTGTGCTGATAACTTGGGGAGTCAAGTGCGGGGTGGCAGCGCTCTGGGAATGGCAGGTCTGGTTTCTGCAGCGCAGGACATCTGATTTATGACTTTCGTCGCAGTCGGTAAACTTGTCAATTAGCTGCGTTTGAAAAGTGATCTTGATTAGTGCAATCAGTAAACACAAAATCTTGCCTTTGATTGCCACCCTGATTAGGTAAATTGTTGCTTGAGGAGCTACTAGAGAAGGCAGTTTCTTTGGCCTTATAGCTCAGGAAGTGCCTAAGTTTTGCAGCCTAAAGAAAATATTAATTGTCATTTCTTCTCCCATTTGGTGTCTTTTTGAAGTGCAATTCACTGCTCCAAGCTCTTTCCCTCCAAGATCGTTCTGCCAGCCGTACAAATGAATAGTAATAAGGTGGATTTAAATGTCTTTATGATGATTTCATTAAACTCTTTCTTAAACTGTTCCCTAGAACTGCAAAGAGGTGTGGTTGCAGCAGGAGAGCTGGGTCCTTTCTTGTTGACATGGAAAGGAAGGGTCTGGAAACATGATGAGCAGAGCTCAGCTCTGCCGTGTTTCTAGGGTGCTGCTGTCTGTGAAACTTGGGAATTATTAGGAACAGTCATCTTAGGGTGTTTTTGGTTGGAAGCAGTGACACTCTTGGGGTGTCCCAAACTTAAAATTTTATGGGTTTTTTAGCAATTTTGTCTGTAGGGTTTTTTTTAAAGCTCTGGTGTGTTAATTGCTCGTTTCCCCCAGAGCAACACTGTGGGTTCTCCTGTGCTGCCCTCCCCTTGTATTCCAAAGCAAACACGGCGTTGTGTGGGCACAGCCTGTTTGGCCCTGGAAAGGCCTGACCAGGGGGAAAGTGCCACACATCCATCTTCAGTCCTGGGCATGCTTTAGGCTGGTTTGGTTGGAAATTGGGTGGAAAATAACTCACTGTACCTGCTGAGAGCATGGGTGGGTAGCAGTGTGTGTGTACAGAGAGAGGTTTATTTGTTGGCTGGTGTAGTTGTGTGTGCAGATGTAATGTTTAATAAACGACTCTGTATGGAGTACAGATAAAGAATCGTGGGCTGGACTGGCTTTGCTCCAGCAGGACGAGCGGAGCCGCCGGGGATGGGGATTTATCCCGTGTTCTCCCTGCTGGGGGCTGCTCACACCCTGCCCTGCACACCGAGAGAGAGGGACAGAGCTGGGAGACAGGCACAGATTGATTTATTTCGTTTTTCCCTCCTTCCCTTTGGAATTCTCGCCGGGCTTCCGCGCCCTCAGCCCTTGGCAGCGTGCCGGGGTGTCCGTGTCCCGTGCTCCAGCTGCTGGAAGCAGCTGTTGGAATGAGGTCCCACTCGAAGGCCATTGAAAGCCATGAAAGGTGTCAGTGGAGCTGCAGCCTTTGATTGACGCCGGGGCTGCCCGGGCGCCATTGAGGGGCTGCTGCTTTTATCCTGTTTGCTGACCAGGTTATTTAGAGGGACAACAACCGTTTAATTGCGTGTCCTGCCGGAGCAGGGCCGGCCCTGCCTCGGCTTTGTAAAGAGCTGGTTTGGGTGGAGGGGACAATGGACAAGTGGGTGGTCTCCCGTGCTGCAGCGCTGGGGCTCCGGCCAAGTTTTCTTACCCAAAAAAGGCTTAATTCAGCCTGATTCCATTATCTCAGAGGTCATTAATAGATTTTTTTTTTTTTATTGTTGTATGATCATTGACTAAGTTAACTCCTTTACCATCTTTAATGATGATACATTTCTATTTTATATTATTGAATCCTTTATGTTTTGTATCCTAAATATAACTTTATTTAAACATGAATAAAGTGGGACTGTTCACTTTATTCCACGCCCTGGTCATCCTTGTAGTTTCCTTTATGGAATAACTTAGCCCAATCAAAGGGAAGCTGGCCAATTTCCCATACCTGCCAAAAGCCTAAATATTTAGACTATTACACGTTTGTGGCTGACAAACATGGTGTGTCGTGGTGATGATACAGCAGGGGGGTGTGTATCTGCGTTTTTTATGGAGTGATGAATGTACTTGGAAGATTAAATTGTTAGGGGTAACAGACGAGGTTATGCATCTTTAACAATCCAGTAGGAGACACCTGTGAAGAGTCCAAGCACTCACCAGAGTAGTCCTGGCAATTCCAGCTCATTATTCTTATCACCTGAAGCCTGTTGGGCGTACTGAAACCAAAAAGGTTGCCTTTTATCAGTTCCCAGCAGGGCTCTGTCCAAATAGGCAGCAGGAGCTGATGGCTTGGAGTGTGTTTGTGGCATATCCAGCCTGAGCTTTTCTGTTTGGCTCCTTGAAAGCACAGCCAGGAGTGGAGCACGGCTCTTGAATTGTTACACTTGCCCTTTCTTACTTTACCATTTTGTTTCTCCCCTCCAGACCTTCGGCCGCAGGAGTCCTGGCGAGGCCCCACGCCCTTGTTCCAGCAGGCACCACAGAGGTAAGGCAGGAGGGGTTGGCAGCTCTGTGAGACCTGCCCAGGAGGGTGGATTGGGGCTCTGCCAGCCTTCCCAACGTTTGTTTCTTCCCCTCCTTTGTTTTGAACGTTGCCGTTTAAGTTTGTTGAAACGGTGCTGTACAGCGGGTTTTTTAAGTTAATTAAGGTCCGTGGTTTATTTATGTTTTGAGAGCACGCTACGTGGTGTTCATCCTTTAAAAGGCTTGAGTAGTTTGAATTAAAAAAAAAAAAACAAACCCACTTTCCATTAAAACTCAGGCTTCAAAATTAACTTTACTGTTGGTGCTTTGGTACCGTTCTTGGTTCTTTGGCCTTTATCTTATTGAAGCTTTTGAGATACCATGAAATTGGACACAGAGAGCTTAAAACTGCATTAGATTTTGGACAGGCTAAACAAATTTCTTTTTAGGAGGGCTGTGGAGCTTAATGAGGCATAACTAATGGTGTTCCACTTTTATCATTTCTGTGCTGCAGCCGCAGCATTAGTACAGACCAGCCATTGATTCTTGCTACAAACCTCTTGAAGTCCTAATCAGCTTCTTTGGTACAAGTTTTTCAGGGCTGACAAGCCCATTGTAGGGCAGTGTCACTGTAGGTCAGTAGTTATTAGTTGCCACTGAAAACAGTTTCTTTAACTACTTAAGGCTGAACTGAATTAAATGCAGAAGGGACTCAGGGAAGGATTATGGAATCTGCAGTCCAATAAGTGCCATCGAATAGAAGGAATGTGACATGGTTTGATAATCAGGGATGTTTTACATGCATTCCTTCATTGATGGCTTGTGTGTCCTTCAGTGGGGGGACTCAATAAACTCAGGGTACCTGTGGCAGCTATGAATAATGATATTTATTTCTGTTTATGGAGGAATGGCAGAGCACGTAAGGGATGTTTCTGCACCGAGGCACAGGGTTTTTTCCCTCGGTTTTATTTGCAAATGTTGGCCATTGAAAATATGGGCTTTGGGAGAATTTATTGAGCTCTCCGCAGCCACTTTCCATGGCAACCATTTTGATCCCCACTGAACCAAGTCTGGCTCCCTTGTCCTGTGCCTCATCCATGTGGAATATTGTAAGGCAAGGTTTGTTTATAATGCAAGCTTCAATATTGCTTGGGCCATGGGAGTTGCTGCTCCCACACCCTAATTAAATCCAGCGTATACAGGACTATTTTCTGAAGGATTGCTGCAGGTCTGTCACTTGTCCTTGCCTTTTCTTTGTTGCACCTTGGATGGTTTATGAAAATCTCTGACTTGCCAGCTCTGAGGATCAGTACTTTTGCCGTTTCCCTGGAAGGTTTGGGATTTGGGAAGCAGATGAAACCTGCTGACGTCGAGTGAGCTGCTGTACAAAGACAAGCACAGAGACTTAAGCAGAAGGTTAAACACAGGGAGACTTGGTGCAGGAAATAATGTCTGAACCTGTTGAATTGACCCCTGCAAGGGATTTTGGGTTTCCCAGTTCATTCCCTGGGAGCTGCTGGTTTCCCAAACCACCTACCCCTGGGGCTGTTCCCACTTGCTGCTGTGGCTTCAGGTGCTCCAGGAGCAACGAGGTGCCAGGGGGGAGAGCAGCCAGGGATTTCTGTCCTCTGTCACCTCTGTTCCCAGGAAGAAATTAAATGAGGGAGAGAGCCAGGAGCCCTGTCCCTGCTGCCTGGAAAGCTTGGAGCCTTCGTGCTGTTCCAGGGATGGAGTGTTGCAGGAGGGGGCTAAAGCACCTCTTGCTTGCCAGGCCTGGGGGGAATAAAAAGCAGGAGTGGAAAGCTGCTTCTCTGTAGTCCAGCAGGTCCTGCCTCCCGTGTAGGATCTCTTAAATCCAGTGCTGCAGTGCTACCTGGCTGAGGGACATTTCCTGGCTGAGGGAAATGGAGCAAAACCATTTGCTTGACCTGCTCACAGAAGAGATTTCCAAGGAGTCTGAGCTTGGAACACGGGGATGTTTGACAGTGTAATGTCTCCTGAGGCTGTCTTTGAGCTGTCCTGGCTGAATATGCTTCAGCTGAATCATGAGTTGGGGTAACTCTGGAGAGTGATTTGAATGATTCTGCCAGTGTGAGCTCCTGGGATGTTTCAAGTGGCACAGTCCCTTTTTGGTTGCAGCTTTTGCTGCGTGCAAATCTCCACCCTCACCAATTAATAGATCCACTGGATGAACACAGAGTCAAGTGCTGTGAGTCCTGTAATTTCCATATTTCTTGTTTACAAGATGAAAATCTAATTTATTTTTTTTTAATAATACATAGTTCTGTGAATTAAGAACAGGCTTTAAGATCAGAAAATGCATTGCAGCCTTTTTTCCAGGTTTAGAATCCATGGTAGTTCTGACTGAAAATCACCAATTTCACTGTTTCAGATGGCCTTGAGCAAAAATGCCCCAACAACATCATGTAAATATTGTTGTGTTTAATTTGTTAAATTCCTAACTTTTCACTAAACATCACTTAAAAATAACAAGTTTAAACTCTGTGCCAAGTACATATTAATGACAGAGGAAATTTGTGTCAAACTTTCCCATTCCAGGCATGGAGCAAGTGCTGGCCTGTGACCCTCAGCTGTATTTATCACCAGCACTTGTTACAGAGACAGAATGATTGTTAATGAAAGCCCAAGAGCTGGGGCTGTGTGGGCATTTCCCAGTAGTTTTCCTTAAGGCAGAGCAGTGTATTCATCCCGGAGAGTCTGCTGTTTTCTAGGAATCATGAGGGGGGAAAAAAGTTAGTACTCAAAATACTTAATCCAAAGGAATAAGTATGAACCTATCTTAGAATACTGACTTTGAGTGTTTAGTCACTGAAAGTGTGACTTGCTATGAACTTTAACTACAGCACTGCTCCTTCTGAGGGAGGATTTGGGTGACATTGTGCATTCCTGGGGTGAAAAGCACAGCACACAGCTCAGTATCAGCACTTACCATTCATGCATGTCCATTTTTAGTCCATGTATTCCACGTCCTATCCACCAACTGCATACTTATCCAGCAGGACTCATATTTTTCTAAACAGGAATCAAGTTATTTGCTTCTGGAGATGGCAGGAGTTCCTTATGCTTTCCTAAAATCCAGGCAGGTCTCACTCTGACCAGGTGGAGCAATTGTCTTTGTAGGCTTTAGTGTGAAACCAAAAGCAGTTTGCATCCAAAACCACACCACTATCACATCCAAAATGCCTGTTTTCATCCGTTTAGTCTTGCCTCTACCTGTCTTGATTCCAACTTTGCCTCTGCTCCAGCTGGTGGAATGTGTTTAAAGTCCTTCCCCTCCCAAAACTCCTCAGTTCTCACAGCTCCCTTTGCCTGGTGTTGTACAACTGGCTGTGAGTCCTGCCTGGCCAGGACAATCACAGCTCCTCCCTGAGCTCCGGGGTCATTTGGGAGCCTGGCTGCCCCTGGAAAGGGTCTCCAGGGTGGAAATTCAGCACATCTGGGCAGAGGCTCTTGGAAGAGACGAGGAGTGATGTGCAG